ATGTCAGGAAATAAAACATGGATTTTCTGACATGGACATAGAATACATTTCAATGATTGTTAGCTAGTGGTCCCATATACTTTATATCACCGGCTGACATTTTGAAATCATGTGAGAGGGAAAAGAGTAAAATCCTTCTTAAAGGGCAATTATTTGAAGATTTTGATGATTACCAAAAAGTCCTGCCTCAGTAGAAAAGTGAAGTTTTAAAGGAACCGTTAACCAGCCGGTAAAAATTGATAAACTTAGCAGGAATCTTGCCTGCAGATACGCAAACATGGCAATCAGCAAATGAGCGTGCTCTCTGAAAACAAACAATGTGCACCACAGTATGACGCCTGTGCTCGTTTAGTCGAAATTCTTTACTGAATTTTATGCATTTTCAAAGTTCAAACATCCTCCTCCTCCTCTCGTTCAGCAACATTTGCCATCTGTCTTTATTGCCTGTATCTCAACTCTCAAGGCCATGGCGCTGTAATGGCACCGCACCTCATGTTTAAGTGTTTACTTCCTAAAAGGGCACTCGAGAGCTTGTGTACTGATTACAAAACTCTCCTTCTCCGTTTCGCTCTCTGAACTCCCACCAACCTCACGACCGAGTCAAGGTCGCTCCCATGCTCTCCTCCATGCCATCAATCTCAAAAGAAACAAAGCTTCCTCTCACGCTATTTTGTTCCTGTGCCACTCCCCCCTCTCCACCCTCTTTTTTTTGTGCTGATGATAAATACACTCCCCCCCCTTCAAAATATTATATCCGCTTATTCCTCTCCCATTCATCTCAGAGCATAAACAAACACAGGTTGACAGACTAATCTATTTCTATATAAGTCTTATCCTTTCCAGCTCACGGCCCACTGCGTCTAAACCGACGCCGCTGCTCTTCATTTCTGAAAAACTGTCGATGTTTTTCATTGACCGGAGAGGTAGATATTATTGATATCATGTGGAGATCTAAATCCGCATATGCCGCAGTTGTGCGTTGTTGTAAAATAGTATTTTTGCAAACGGGTTTATTCTATGACGTTCCAGCTTCTTATTTTTTAAACACCATAAAGCTGAGTTTATCTTTGTGCATTCTAAATGACAGATCAATCCAGGGTGTAGAGACAGACTGCGGCCAGCTTGTAAAAGTTTACAGACTCCAACCCACGCTTTAAACAGAAACTCAACCCATATGAATTACAGTGCAACGACACCATTAGTGGACGCCGAAAGGAGCCACGTTAAAAAGGACGGACACTTCCAAGCATGCAATCCAATAGCCTTGTTGGCCCCGCTTCACCCACATATAAGCAACACGACATCCATCACCCCGTTCCTCTGACCCGACAGACACTTCTCTCTGACTCGTGCTGGGAAAACAAGCCCGTCGGCTCGGAACTGCAATGTAAGCAAAATCTGATCGCAAACCACAAATCACAACAATCTATGAGTGTTACACAAACACGGTGGTACACAAATCTAGATTATGTAAGCACGCCGATTTAACTGTCAGTATTATTCAAAGTGGTTGATGCCGGTCAAGTACACAAATAGGACATCACTCTGGACATCACAGGACGTTTGCGTGACAGGGAACGGACGCTGGCATCCGTTTCTACACAAACTCCTGCTTTGTGTCTCTTCCACCAGGTACCGCTGTGGCACCCGTGCCAGAGGTGCAATGCGTCACAATGTGGTCGAGTGTCCTTGCGACCACAGCCCACCATCTGTTTGGTATCAATCAACACCCTCATCAAACATGACGCTTGTCATCATTATCAGACAGCAGGCTTTTGAAACGCCGTCTTGAAACACTTTCTAAAGTTTGTTTCCATCTAAACTCACTCTCCCATGGACAAAGAAACTCCTACACACACACACATATATTACCTCAGAAACCACCGCTTTCTCAACTGTGGGGGTTCTGGGAATCCAGTTAGAAACAGTTAGGGGTCTGGGGTATGCACTCATAGCTAGAAAGTAGTTGGCCGTCAGTATAAACCATAAAACCAAAGCTGCCATGTCTTTCTTTAACACACTATATGGACATGGTGGGACATCACCCATACGTTTTAAGGGGACATTCAATATAAAGCCCAAAGTCGGGTTCATGCTGGGTTGCATTTTTGGCTCGTGGCTTCTTAAAATGAAGCTTTGTCTACTTGCACTCGCTAGTAGCAGATTGCATTATGGGTATGAGTCGTGGCCATTTCAAAAAAAAAAAAAAAAAAGGAAAATATTGTTAAATCTGGAACTCAAGATCTAAAATGATCTATCAATTCAGAAGCAAAGAAGTCAGAAAAAAAATCTTGTGAATCATTTCATGACCCCTCAAGATTCAGCTTGCAACCTCTTATGTCCCCGACCCTCAGGTTGGGAAACACTGATTTAAGACATCAAGTTATCCTGAAACCACTACCAAGACACACATCGGAAACAATGAACTCATTTGTTATGGAAAAGAAGTGATCACTTTGTATTTCCAAATACACTCAGAGGTAGATAAGAAATACATTATCAAATAGGGAATAAGTCATATATGACTTAAAGTAACGTATACCCATTTACTCAAAAAGGACAGGTAGGTTTTAGTTGAGTTGATGGTGCCGGTCTTCAGGCTCCAAGGCCTTGAAATTATTTCCACACGCCATCTTCATCCCTACACCTTTGATCCTGCCAAACACATTTACGGCCAAAGCTACTGCGATGTGCTGCGGATACTCGCTGAGGTGAGTATGAAGGTCAACGTAGGTTTAGAAACCAGTTCTGACAACGAACAAGTTCTGGACGGGAATCGCAAAAATGTCATATTAGAAATTGAGAATTAGTCCGAACCTAGTTACTCTGTTGGAGCTACTAGATGGTGAGCGGCTTTAAAACTCGCAACACTGGACAGGTACTCTGTCATAGTGTTTATGTGAAGGTAAATTCAAGCACCTGGAGTTTGTGTACAGATAATTAAGCCCATAATCTAGTCTTTGGTTCTCGGTTGACATGTTGCTTTGAAGTCCATTTCCAGATCCTTTTGATAGCTGAAAAAATGCTAACTGACATTCAACCTAATCGGAGACACCTTTGTAATTGAAATTTACATAACTTCAAAGTACTTCTCCACAAAGTGTCGACATTACTTTGTATGCTTGTGCACGTGGCCTCAGGCGGGTCTAGCCGGCTACAATGGCCCAGACAAAGACCCAATCCTCGGACACTGACGTATTCCTAGTTTCACCGCAGACACGCATTGTACTCGGGATTCTTAATGCAGACACGCACAAGAAAGCGTTTTGTTTTTTTAAAAGAACCACGCCATCACAACGAATCCTCCACCTGACGTGTGCAACTTCAGCACAAAACTTGTTACATTAAGCACAAAACGTGTTGAAGAAGTCCTTTCCCACACATCTATTATGCCAAAAGTGCACACTATTCGAACACCGCAACTGGAGTTTTTCCTGCACATATTGAACACAGGTGCACTCACTGAGCCAATGGCTGTTTTATGCCAGAATACGTTTTTACGAGATCTCAACAAGAACACAGCCGCAGAAAACCAAAAACTCAAGTGCGCGATAAGCAAGCTTTACATGCAAGGGGACATATACATAAAATGCATTCATTTCGAATATTAGAGATGACATCTGTTCATTCTGTTGTTGCTCATTCCGGGAATGATTTGCTTTTCATGCACTCCCCCTCTGCAGATGCAAACCCGTGATCACAGTCGACAGACTAATGATATTGCAACATGTGTCCTTAGGTAACTGCCCAATTTAAAATATCGCCCCTGCAGCTACAACGCGATGAGGACGGAGGGTGTAATAATGAGAGTATGCGAGTGCGCCTGTGAGGCCTCAACACATGGGAGCGGTGAATCTCCAGCTGCTCCTAATTCTCCCTCATGGGTCTCTTCTGGCAAAGGGTGTAAACCACATGCTAATATGTGCCTGAGGTGTGTGTGTGTGTGTGTTTTAAATATGGTCAGTATCTTTTCCTGCATCGTAGTATATGTGACATCTGCAGGAAATGAGAGCCATCCTCCTATAGCTGATGAAGACAAAGGGACCGGCAGACACTGTGGGCTCACTGAAGCCAAACTGTTGGAGAACATCCAAACTTTTTTTTTTTTTTTACTTTTTGCCCTTTCTCCTAAACGGGTGACAATGATAGATCGCTGTGAACCGACAGTGTCTCGTAAGTAATGCGGAGCTGTGGCGAACCGAAGGAAAAAAGGGAATAAAGTCGTAAGTCTTATGGCAACAGGCTATCACAAACAATGCACAGCCAACCTGTGTGCATGGCTTAGTGTTTAATATATGGAGATCTTGCCCTAACAAGACCCTGAAAACACATAAAACTTCCCTAGCTCTGCACAATGAATAAATGTGGTTTGAACTGGGAACCCTCCCAGATTTTTGCAGAATTGTGGGAGACCCCACACGTACCAAGTGCTTACACAATGTACTCTACTGGAGCCCACACACTTCATGATAATGTAACCAATCTCAACCTGAGATCTCACTCCAGCTTACATTACGCTGCGAGACATTTACACTGCTTGTTGTGCGCAGAGGGAATACAAAGAGACAGATCTTAAAAGATTCACACAAAACTGTGGCGGTTAAAAACACATAAAAAGCATGGATGAATTTGGTTCTCACAAACATGACACTACAAGATCAGGATCCTCTGCTGTTAGGAAATGTCACTTTGAGCGTCGGTTGTCCCCCAACTGGCCTACTTGGGTCAGCTTAAACAAAACGACATGATTTGACATGATTTGACGCAAATGGACAATCTTTGTCTCCCTCTTGTGGTGTATAATTAAAACTGACGGGGCCCTCAAATATGTGGGTCCATGGAGAACTGACATACGGAATACAAATTGTAAAGCCGTCTGGGACAAACATGCGATTCTCTCCCAGATGAATGATTATAATCTCAACTACAGCACTGCCAAGCGGCAATCATTGCCGTCTGTCTAAAACAGCTGTTTAATATTCATCAACACAATGCAATTATTTAATGAGACAATATTTTAACATTTATTCGTGTTTCATATTAATATTAGCACAGAGCACATGACAATGCAATGTTATTATCACATCAACAACCATCTACATACATTAGCAACCTTTACATGTAAATCCATCAGGGGGGGGGGGGGGACTCAGTTGTATTGTTGCAAAGATATAAATGACAAAAAATTAAAATGTATATTTTACTTTTGATCTTTGGAAAATAAACAACTACATCCAGACAGAATCTCTCTCTTACTATATAATCCCCAACAGCCGAGACTTCTCACTCCTACAGTGGCAACAAGGCCACTCATCGTTCCGTCATCAATGGCTGCAGGAAGAGAGATGGCGAGTGATAGATTAGGCAGTGAGAACAACACGGTGCTTGCTTTAGCTCTCACAGAGGTCAGCTTCTGCTCTGTATGAAACCTCAGTTTCTAGTGAGGGATGACAAGAAGTCGAATATTCACAGAAGGTAATGTTTGTTCGTGTTAAAGTCCATCTGACATGTATATTTATCGTTAAGTGTCACACATTAAGCTAAATAGCTGATTTTAATGTGGAGTCAGAATTTTGCACTCTTATATTACCAGTGGAAGCCACTAGGTGGAGTTATAAATTCAGGGATCTGGCAACCATTTATACTGTCTAAGAATGTGTTCATGTTTGAAGGCATGAACTTCATTCTCATAACTACCCTGCCTATTATCAGGAGTAAAGACAGAACTACAAATATATAGATTGCAAACTACATTTCCTTTGCTGCCATTTATCACAGTGCATCGTCAGCTCCCTTTAACGTTTCATGCACAGAATTAACACGTAATCATTTACCAGCAGGGTTGTGAAAGAGGCACATTGTGTTAACAAAATATACTACCAGACACATTAACTTTCTTCATTAGCGGGGACACCTTTGGGAACTGTGTCGTTGCTCAGCTTACTTAAGGACTGGAATGGAATATATAAAATCTCTGCACAGTGAAAACATGAGAAAATCAATTTGGATCATCATGAGTTGAGCTGAGAAGAATTCATTTTGAGTATGCATGTACGTCCCTCTCCTTTGTCCTGCTCAAACTAAAGCGTGCATCTAAGCCAAGGCAATGATGCAAACAGACGTGTTCCAGGAGGCTAAGACCACAGTCAGGTATCAGACATATATGAGCCTGGACAGAAGTACTTTGTAACATAAGTAGAAGTATCAGCCTGGTTGGTAAATGGCACAGTGTGTTTCTGACTGCAATGTGAGGGACCTGGAAAGTGTCTGTGCACTTGGCTTAGATCAGCTGGTCAGAGTTCAAGAGTCAGAGGTTGAAGTTTGGGTGTCAGCAGCTCATTGTTCCATTTGCCTGTCGAAGATGGGTGTGTTGGGGGGGTGGGGGGGGGGGCCTGGTGTGCTCAGTAAGGCTCCATCTTGATCCTTCTGTACAAGCAGCTGGTGAACACCATCCCACAGACCTGGAAACAGGAAGTGTTAGGTCAAAAAAAAGTGCTGCTCTGTGTCACGGAAGACTGCAGGAAGCCTGTGTGCTACTGACTGTGGACAGAGAGGGGGTTATAGGTAACGGGGGGGGGGGTTAGAGACCGCTGGAAAGTATGGGAGCTGGATACTATGGGGATGAAGGGAGTCAAGCAGCCATTGCTGCAGCAACATGTGTGTGTGCACAGGCTAGCACAAGCAGATACAAAAGGAAGCGCTGGAGGTGGTTTACGCACAAATATTCATCACAAATCACAACTACTGTACATGAACACTCCTAAAATTTGGGATTAGACTGATCTGAAAAAGGAAGGTATCCAATAATTTGTCTGACTACATAAACAGACACTGTAGTTACAATTCATTGAAAGGTTTCTACGTTCTCAAAGACACATGATCTGATGCTGGAATCAATGAGACATGACTTACAGAATCACTGCACTATTCTCCGCTACCACAGAAAAGGCTCCGGAATAAAGGAAGAACAGCAGGAACAGATATTGACCTGTGCCACTGGCTTGATGGATACACAGGCAAGTGCCCAGATTCAATCTTTGAGTCTCTAAAAGCCCTCTGAGGAAGCCTTATCGAGCGAGTCTGCGTTATGTACCGACTCTTCACGATCCCTCTTCAGGCAACTTTTACATTTGATCCAGTGATGGATATGTAGGAACAATATAGTTGGGCTCAGAGAACCATGACAGCAGCCTCTTAGTTTTTGTTTTTTTCTTGAAGCCTAATTTTAGAACACATTGATACAACTAAACGATGTAAAAACACTTGCATTTTTCCTGAATGATGTACTTGAAGGTGTCTGAATAAAACAGAATGAAGTTCCAGCATATGATGCATTAGCTCTTCTAAAACAACATCTACCAAAACTAGGTAAGGTAACTACTCCTGGTACCAACTTTTAAATATAAGAATAAATGGGAATTATGTAAAAACAGTACTTTATAGAATAAGGCACTTCTGTACAAAGATACAGGATATTACTCTTGCGAACAACATCATTGTGCACAAGCAGGTACGTTTTGATGAATCAAGCCATTCTCATGTGTTTAACCCGTATTTATCAGCCACGACAGCCCATAATCACAACACACAGAGCAACAATCTGCAATACACAGCCAAAGCCAGGCAGCTGCATGCTTCACACTGAGCGAAAGACCATGCAAGAACATGTTCATTTAGTATACGCGTATATATTTAGTATATATTTAACACAGAGCGGACACTCGCACAAGGACAAGCATGCAGTCAGGTATCAGATTCCCATAATGCCTTCCAACCTTGTCTCTCCAGTTGATTAAACCACAAAGTCGCTCTAGAGCTAAATCACAGTGTACCGGAGTCGTCGTCCTCTTCTTTATAGAGCAGATAAATAAAGCAGGCTGTCAAGACTGCCCCGGCCAGCTACAGCAACGCACACGCACACAAAGACAAAACAGACATAGAGACATACTGTACAATTCTCCATGGACAGATTAGTGTGGCAACGAAAGATGTAGTTTATGCCAAAAACAGAAAGATGAAAACTACAGCAAAATTACAACAAATCCTTTCAGCCAGTCTGACAGACACTAGAGACAGGAAAGTGTACCAACATGTAGAAGGACTGGAACAAAGACAAGACGTGCAGTTAGGCCACAGTATAGAGGAGAGCAGACACAATGCTTGCATTGAAACACTTTGTATTTTACATTTATATCTCCAGGTATGTTCTAAAGAGTCAGTACTCCATCTTTATATTAAGCATAATCTCTTTTGATCACTTGAGGATTAAAAAACATCTTCACATTACAGCTACGGTTAATGGGAAGCTTTATTACTACGTTTTTACTTTATTTTTACTTTATGTGGCCTTGTTCTCAGTTCCCATCTTCCTTAATAAAACCATTTAGCCTGAACAGCATGTAAAATCATGTCAGTCATGCGAACACCACTAGAAAGAATCAATGCAGGTTTGTTTGGTTTCAAGTTTCTCTTTTACCAAGAGATGGTGCAGAGCTACAGGAGGACCGTCAGCCAGCACAGAATTATAAAGACGCCCCGCCGTGTGCCTCAGTGGCCGCTGTATATCTTAAAAGCTCAAGTCCATTTCAGGCTGGGACAAATCAAATAACAACAAAGAACGAAATTAGATAATGATGACTCAGAGACTGGAGTGAGATGAATAGAAATGTCCATTTAGAGGTTGTTGATCTGCGATGGTGCATTTTCAGTAATGGAAAGATTAAAACCCATCGGTCTGGGATTTTTCGACAAAGGCCAGCATTCATACACAAAAGGTAAAAGAAAAAAAATTATAATTGAGCTTCTATAAAGCACAGTTTACTCAGGTGAAGACTGCAGAATAGCACTTCTGCTTCTCCAACAACTACCTGAAGTGCATAGCATATTTGTCTTACCTGCAGACAAGCCACTCCTATCCCCACAGCACCGATGACCAACAGGTGGTCGGCCAGAAACTGCTCCAGCTTAGTGATGCAACCCCCCTGCACAGAAAAGCTGACAGTTAAAATCATGCATACTATTTGCACAGATAGCCATTACGCTTGCAAACCCTTCGAAAGCTTGCTTTTTCTGCATCTCTCCGTGACTAACTTCCAAATTATTGCAGCCAAGAAGAAGACATCCTGCAGGGAATATATTGTGCCTGTAATTTCCCTTTTTACATACAAGTGTGAAGTCCACTGACCTCCACCTTGTAGATGTTGGAGGGGTGGTCTCTCTTGCCACAGTGAGGGGTGATGGTCTTACAGCAGCTGTCAGGCACCACCCTGTCCTCTGCCTGCTTTGATGAAACGTACACACTCGCCATCCAATCGTGGGAGTTGTTGCTGCCACAGCACTTGAACTGTGGAGGCAGAAAGAGGTTACATGATGTCACACAGTGTTATAACTAAGCAAGTTTTTTTACACTCCACTCCATCACTTCCTCAAATCATTATTCCATAAATGACAATTCTTGCGACTGAAAACAGTGGTTCTCTTTCCACTCTAGGACACAAATAAAATGACTTAAGTTATGTTACTTTATAGTAATAGAGTATAGAGTCCATACGTCCTGTTGTAGTCTGTCCACAGCTAATGTGATGGCCTCCCTCCCTGGCTGGGCGTAGTTATCAGTCATAGTCTGGTTGAGATGCTGCTTCAGCTCCTCACTCAGCTGGGAAAGAGGAACAAAGAGAGAGAGACACACACAGTGAGAAACAGTGTGTGAGCCAGAGAAGGTGGAGGAGCATTTATGGGAGAGAACAAAATGCACTTCATTTATTACACATGGAGCACATCGAATAAAAACAGAATTTTATGCTTCCGCCAACCAGTTAAGTTTCATTTTACATCCAGGTCTGCCCACAATGTCACGTCTGGCGTTTGTGTGAAATTGTCGTATTTTACATATGAATTCTTGAGTTATGGCCAAAAACATGTTTCGTGAGGTCACAAGTGACATTCGACCAGAGAATTCTAATCAATTCATCCCAGAGTCCAAGTGGACGATTGTAGCAGATTTGAAGAAACTCCCTTTAGGTGTTCCCTGAGAATGGGACGCAATGATAAAAATGTGCAGGAGCAAAGACTAAAAGTTGAGAGAGTGTTGAAGTGATAAGCTTGACAAATGTAAAAGAGTGGGTGGCTTATAGGTCAAGATAGACAGGTAAGCAACTCCCACGCATCAGAGAGAGCTGCGGAAATAAACAAAAACACACATCAGAAAATAGACTTCAAATAAAGCCTCTGATGTGTGGATATGATTGTGTGTGCATTCATGCACACACACACACACACACACACACACACACACACACACACACACACACACACACACAAAGATAAACAGAGAGGGAAGATGAGAGCCCGTATCTTTAAAGTGATTCTATCCTGTGCTGAACACTTTTTCCATTAGAATAAACCTCTGAGCTTGAAGATAGCAGACGGCGCTCTTTGCAGTGGTGGCTGACTGACAGGTAGATGTTTGTGAGATAACAAGATGCTCAGAACAGTGTGTCAGATCAACTCCAGAACTCAATGCTCAGTGGAGGTGGCAAATAGTGAAAACCTAAAATTAAAAAAAAGACACCTTTTCACATTGGGCAAAAAAGAAAAATAAAGTCAGTTATTCTTACTGCCTGATTGCACACTACTTTCTATTAACTCCAAAAATAAACTAGAAGGATATTTTCACTTACCCTCTGGTAATACACATAAGCCAGTACTCCAGCCACCAGTTCAATCAAGAAGATCAGCAGCAGGCAGAAGAAATACTGTGAATGGGAAACATTGTCAGTGAGTAATGGAGAAAGCACTTCAAATGAGTCAAATCCACACATTTCAGCTCCATAGTCATCACAACAGTTCTCTGCTGAACCAACTCGCTCGTGAAAAGTTGCTGACACTCGTGACGGCTAAATAAAAACTGCCATCGACTGTCACCATGCTGCATCTGTCACTTCCAACGCAGATGGCATCGCAGGAAAAGAGACAAACCAGAAATCATTTTGACAGGCGGCAGAATCAGACTTCTCTCGGGGGCATCTTTTAATAAAGAGCTCTCCACGCCGCTTGAAAGCAGCTCCATTATGTGTCATAATTAACTTCAAAACAGCATCTCAGGGAAAACTCAGCTACGCTGATCCAGTATGAATTATCACAACAGCATTTAAACATTTGTTTATGCATTATATTCCTTTCTTTCTTCAGGAAAACAAGGAATATAATGCTTCACACATCAGATTACTAACTTCTTGATATAATTACTATTAGCCAAAACTGAAGATCAAGAAGCTAAAAAAATTAAATGTCAGTGAAAAAATACACTGGTGGCTCTCAGAGCTTTATCCTTCATGATAAGCACTAGTGTGTGTTTTGAGCATAGTTATATAAACTGTGTAGCCAACAGGTCGCCCACACATCTTGGGTGCGCCGACAGACGGTTGCAGAATGAGCGAGATCAAAACTACAGCTTTTCACGCCAAAATACATTCAACTAATAACCGCCGCATGGGGCGCAACAGTCTCACTGACATAATATGTGAGACACTTGCACTTTGCAGTAGTTATGTCATGCAGAAACACAGTCTGCTCGGTATCTCTTGGTTACAAGATTTCAAATAACATTTCAGTCTGTGTGTGTGTGTGTGTGTGTGTGTTTCTGCAGCCCACACACAATTCTAACTTCACCCCTTCTGTACACACACACACGTACATGCTGGCATCAGTCATTAATCTCCCAAAGCTAATATATAAATAGCACATCAATACAGTTTGGTATTCAACCAAAATGCTCATCAGACTCCAAATCCTGTACACATCCACCTCTTCACTCCTGCAAGCCGCTTTGACTCTCCTAATGCTCCATCCATCAACAGTAGATAGATAGACCTATAAATAGTCCTGCGGCAGTGAACGTTAACCAACCTCCCCCCCCGCCCGCCCGCCCGCCTGCTTCTCTCCCACAGGGGCCCCGTCTCTGTAAAATAATGAGGACAGTAAGGTCCCTCTGTAAGGGCCATTTGTCAGCATCCAGTGAGAGACCTTAGACCAGGGAGAGTGTGGATGAGGTCGCTGTTACGGAGTTGCACAGAGAAACATCTGTGCTCTCAATGTAGACGTGACTGTCTACGATCATCAGCATTGTTGCCCACGTCATCGTTCAAATGGCATAACTTACGAGACAGTCCGGCTGAAGACGCGGTCAACTGGTTTGAATTAACTTTATTGTGCGTGTCAAAAGGACAAACTGGACCGGGATGTTCAGCGTGAGCGCCAACGTCGTGGACAGTCAGTTGATCCGTACAGCGCGAGTGTATTAGTCTGATGGTGGTGATGTTTCATTCATCACTGGAGGTAAATGTGATTTGTTCTGATCATATATGATAATTCAGTCTCAAGCATAGATTGCTTTTGACCAAGGCACAGTTGAGTGTCATGTGTCCCCTGTCTCACCGTGGACAGGCAGCTTTTCTGCTCCCGAACGACGGCGCAACAGCCCAAGAAGCCCGTAACCACCACCAGGCCTCCGGCCAGGATGAGGATATATGCCGAGACAGCGAAAGTGCTGGAGGCCAGCAGACTCAAGTAGTCACTCTTCTCCACCAGGGTCCAGATGCCCACACCCAAAACAGCTGCTCCACCCACCTGGAAGAGAAGGGAGAGAGAAGGTGGCAACGGTATTAGAATCAGAGACTATGAATAAGAAGTGGACGTAGTCACTGTGACGTCACGGTTTTACAGCTGCTTTACAGACCCGCATGTAAAAGATAAAAGAAGAGATACGATACAACTGATACAGGTGCAGCAAAAGCTTTCAGAGAAGGAAAGATAAGAGATATGATGACTTGAACAAAGAAAGGAAATATTGTGGAAACACCAAGTGTGTCATGTCAAATAAAGGGAGAAAAGTATTCCACTCTACAGGGCAGGAAGTGACAAACAGGAAGTGAGTTCAATGCTATTAGATGAGTCACAAAATGGAACAACATGAGAGGACAGCGGATGAGGGAAAAGGGGCATAAGAATGAAAAGAGGAAATAGAAAGAGAAACAGTGAGAAGTGGCCAAGTACAAAGAATAACAGAAGGATAATATAATGAGGCCATGTCAGGGCATAATGACCACTTCCTTCCAAACAGTCCTGGATAACAGACCCAGGGTGGCGTCCGGGATCTGTTCCTGTCATCAGTTTCAAAGGCGGAAGCAGAGGAAATGCCTCAGAGAGTCTCTCCCATTTCATCCTCTCATTCCATTTCCGTCATAAGCGAGATCCCAAAACTCACGAAAACACACGCCCAACCAAGGAGGTACCACGTGGATAAACAGGAACCTGGGCGGGATGACTTGTCCCCAAACTACTTTTATGTTATTTCGAACAAGTTTAAACCGGAGCGTCAACAGTGGGCAGCAGCATTCAAAAAAAACGAAATCTGAAAAACGAAATCTTAGAATCTAATTTAGTTGGCATGCATTAATCCAATCCGCTGCATCCATATCAAAAGGGAGTGGATTTGATATTTATTAGCAAGATGACTAGCTGAACGTTTTATATACTGCTTTTTTTTTTTTTTTTTAAATAGGTGGAAAGCCAGCAATGTCCTGACAAAAGATGTGCTGCCCCAGAGACTGGTGCAGGTTATAATGGTGCCTGGTGGAAGGAAAAAATAAAAGATGGAGTAGAGCCTGTGGCCCAAGGAGGAGAGGGAGACAGGGTGTGTGAATTTTAAGGTGGCGAGCGAGCTTTAACCCGAGCCTGAAGGTAAAGCTCGATCCCTCTCCTCTCTTTAACCTCTCTCACACACACACACACACACACACAGGTCTCTCATTCGACACACACAATATTCTCTTTGCCTCAGACTTTGACATGGTTTCAAAGGGATCCCAGACACTCGGCACAGCAGCTGCAAGAGCATTCACTTTTAGCAGCGAACTCTGCAGCATCATAAAACATGGTGCCAGAGAGCCAGCCTGACACTCTGCTTGCCCACCGAACACTGACAAGCCCTAAATAATCTATGACTCACTTTGGGCCAAGTCCATAGCTCAGCGTTTTTCAGAGTCGGAACTCTTCCTTAATCCTCTCCCTGTTTCTACAGGGCTCCTTTCCTCTAATGCCTCTCTGCCTGCACTTTTAAAGGAACATTGAGGCAATTTGACTGTGTTACAGCACAGAATATATGGTTCTGCTTTCACAAAAACAAATCTAGTGAAATTCAGTTTTCTTGTCTCTTTTTTACCGTGAGACCTGTCAGTGTTACGGCTCTGCATTGGCTGCCAAAAGAGGTTGAAGTCAACGCTTATTTAATGCTGTTTGAGCGCCGCATTGCGAGTAAGCACAAGTGAATGGATGAAGATGAAGTGTCACCATTGTAAAGTAAACGGTAGCTTAAAAACATTTTACAGCTCTTACTTACCCAGAAGAGAAAGTTGAAAACAAAGAGCAGGTACTTGAGACACACGGTCAGCCAGTCCTCCTGGTCATCTTTATAAACCGCCGTCATCTTCCGTCTTCAAGTTCAATTCTGAAGAGAAAAAAATATGTTGTCAATGCGAGAGGAAGATGATGGGAAATACAAAATTCCGCAGCAAAACGTTTGATACTGCATGGCTGTAGATGAATGATGAGCCTCACACTTTCCTGATTGACTTCAATGTTCCCCTAAACACCAAAACGTTAAGGTAGTAGCAGGGGGGAAAAACGAATTAACTGTGAAACCCAAACAAATTGATAAACTACATCTTACTAGTTGTTAAATGATGCAGCATCCAAGTTCACAATATCATGTCCTCTTGTTATGGCCACAAACCACATCTATAAATTATGCATCGCACCGAACAGCCCATAAACCTTTGAATCATTGAGTGAGTTGAGCACAGTTTGACTTCTGTAAATAAAAGGCTGCAGGGTGGGAAGCACTTAGAACCAGAGAATTGAGCAACACCACATCTTTCGGTGCAGGTTTTTTGCGTTTGTTGACCAGGGCGTCATAATCCAGCAAAAGTCTAATACAGTCAGTGTAGGTCGTATTAGTATTAGGATTAATAATGATACTTAACCAGGTCTATACTTCAGTGTGGCACATAAACAACATGGTAGTCGTACGGTTGGTTGATCCTAGCATTTAGCCATGCGGAACATTTTGGTTCTATTTGCCCAGGTTTTGGGGAAACTGCAGAATGGAAGTTAATTGAGTTTAATCCTGTTTGTCCTTAGCATTAGGAATAAAAAAAAAATGATTAACAGTGTCATCTAATACCATAAAGTTGTCCCATTGCTAGGATCATCCAGATTTAAGTGTAAACTGTTGTTAACATTGATTATTTCTTCAAGAAAAAGTAGTTCCAAACACAGTTATTGTCAGTGCATTCCGTGGGTTCTTTAGAGTATCGGGTTATCACACATGTTTATTGTTTTGTTGTTGTTATTTGTTTGTCTGTGAGCACCCTGAAAGGGGTGAAAACAGAGATCTCAGAGATGGATACATGCATTGGCACCTAAAACCATCTCCATGGCGCAGTAGAAAGTTAACGACAGACGTTTAAACAGGTAGTTAACCGAACGTAATGTGGTTGGAGATTTTTGGGCGCATAAGCTAACGTTTTACAAATGACCATCTCCGTCTAGATGCGTTCACTGGCAATGTCAGATGAACGTTACGCACTAAGATGGTTTCTCCTACGATGCACTGCTTCGGAGATTTCGGACTTTGACCACTGCAGGTGTTCTTCCGCGTCACTAGCAGCCCATAATTCAAGCGAACGTGCGTCCTTTACAGTTTAGGACAAACTTCATGACTGGCTCCCTTGTTTTTCAGGATGGGGTGATGCTCGTGCATCCTGGGAGAAAAAAAATGCATCCCTCCACCTGCGTCGTTGATGCGCAGTACAAAGTTGAACCACATTACCTTGTCGCCATCGAGAAAAAAAACGTTTTCGACTCGCTCTTCGCTGCAGACACACTCACCCAGCCAATGTTTAGTGGGAAATAACCTCGTTTTGTTGGTTGTTCCCGTCAAATCACGGCGTAGGGCGCTGGAGCAGTGAGCGTTTTGTCCCGGTCAAGCGTGTTGCTTCCAGCGTGTACGACAGCAGGTTTGTGTGGATGATGCCTTTGCGGGCAGCTGGTATGTTCAAAGTTTATAATCATGACGGTACTTTTTACACTGCAAAAATAGCCTACCAGAAAGGAACCAAGACATGGAGATCAAACAGCATTTGCTTCAAATTACACACACACGTCTAAAAACATAGACTTGTTTATTGATTTATTTAACGATTATTTTCATATGTCCGATTTCCCATGAAGGCAGCGCAGTGTTAACCTGTGGAAAGGGTCACAGAGTGGAGTGACAGAAGGAAATTGAGTTGCTACACTTAACCACGAGATAGGCTGAATACCAGCGTGCCATTAACAGCATAGCCTTGGTTACAATATAACCACATATCCCTGAAGAATTTCTCAATGAGTTGTACATGAATACACAAAGATAAAGAGGAGAATGCACAGACTACAGTGAACAGACTTAGTGTGGGCTTTTTTTTTGTACATAAATGAATGACAAGTTGAAGCCCTTACTGTTGACTTGACTATAAAATGACTTCTGTGATCCCAAAGGGAGAGATTGTAATTTGGTATTTCAGCATTGAGCAGATCGACATTTATACGTTTTTGTCTAGACTTGTTTGCTTTTTTCTTATTCAGAAGTCTTGTAATCACCAAAAAAGTGGAACTATACACAAACCTCCATAATAATTAACTCTATATGAGAAAAAAAATGTGAATGTAAAAGACAGGCAAGAAGAAAATTAGGACACCAAACTCTTTAGAACAATAACTCAAGATTGTATCTTCTAAATAAAGTAACTGAAAAACCTGGTCCATGTCCCTTTTTTTATCTAATCGCAAGACTTCCTCTCCAACCAAACCAGACTCCTCCGTATTTGCCTCTTTTTTCCATCTCAGTGATTAAATAAGCGTGCAAGCTATTAGGAGTCGATGATGGCTGCAGGGGGAGGAACTCTGCAGTGGTCACCTGGACTGCCGACAATCAGTCTACCAAAACAACATTACTTAGCAGAGGATGTCATCCATTAGGCCTTTCCCAAGTAAACATCGTCCAACCAGAACATAAAAAAGGTTCCAAATATCATCGTTCAATGGGAATTTGGAGCCCGTCTGTTTCCCATTTCCTCATATTTGCATAGGTGACACATGGTGGAACAAACAGAAATGTGGTTTCCCTGAAAGCCAGCTCATTTCTATGCCTAGCCAGTGCATCTGTGTCTCATTCTGCTGTGTTGTAGTTAGTTTGTGGCCCTTTCTCTCACGGGGGGGGGGGGGTAGGAGCAGGGCATGACTAAGCATGCATGTCAAATACAATCTGGTTAAGGGGAAAGCAAACATAATGTGCACCGGTGTGTGCAGGTGTGATTGTAAGAGTGACAAAGAGAAGAGGGGGTTGTGTTTAAATATAGAGACACGAAAAAGACTTGCACACTTGTTTCAGTGTTATGCATCTATTCATTTAATCTCACAATATATTCGCCGAGTTTTAACATCTGTTTGCTTGGATTTGTGCCTGTCTCGATAGGAAATTTGCACAAAGAGGATGAAAACGGGTTTGAATGTGTGAAAGTAGTAATTGGTAGAATTGAAATAAAAGGATGAAAATTCGTCTGGCTCCGGAGACATTTTTTAATTGGAATGACGAATGTGACTAAACAACACTGATAATTTATACTGTTTTGGATTATTTTGTGTATTTTTGTTTTCAAACTAAATCACTAGTGTTGCATTAAACAGAGGTAAAGTTTGAGCCGCTACTGCTTGTTGTGCCTGACCTCTTGTGGTCAGACTCACCTGGAAGCCACATTACAGACTGGCCTCTTCAAAGAGAGCACAACTTTAGGCTGCGGTCGAATAGTCCTTTTGCTTCTGAAGCGCCTTTCATTTGCATTTAGAAAATTCAAACAGCTCTCATCATGGTGGCCACTTAGATACTTCCAGGTCATTTCACTCAGTTAGAAACCTTCCAAAAGCAAAAAGGACGATACAACTGCAGCCAGAGTGAGCACCTCAGTGTACAATCCTCTTAATCCTTTGCCTTAAAGTCCACAAAATCTACTATTTACAGTTACATTAACATGTTTACATTAATATTTCTTTGGTTTGAGTACAGTATTGTTGATGATGCTAGTTTACTGCCAACTACATATGGATGTATTATAGTGTTTAGTGATTAAAGCATTGGTGCTTTAATCACATACAAAGGCACTTGCCCTTTGTGTTTTGTGCTCTTTTTCAGTTTTACAAAAAATACATATTTTCCTTCATTAAGTCCTGCAGTTTGCAGGTTCAGTGTTTCGCACAAAGACTGCAAGATTAGCATGTTAACTTTAGCTTGTCACCACTTTATGTCGCTAATGGTATTTTTGTGTCACTTGAACACAATAGTTGCCCCGCCAGATGTAAAGGATTCTTTCCACCTCTGGAAATAAGATGATATAAAATAGTTTTCTGTGGAGAAAATCTAATAGCAACGTGTCAAGACTAGCCTATGATTCGAAGGATATGAACATAATTAGCTATTTGTTAAAATTGAATTTGGGGGTGATGTGTATCTTTAAATTTACAAAATAGGCCCCTCTTACTCATGTGAATGGAGTCGAAAGAGTTAATTTTTCTCACCAGGAAGTGTGTAGTTCCAAAGCAGGGGAGGAGCTCTTACTGACGTCACCATGAGGAAACGAAACTGAGTCAGGAGTTGACGGACACGTTTTCAAAGTGTAGTTAATTTTGAGTTTTAAGCGCTGCTGCTTTTGAAAAGTTCCTCTTTTACAGGTAAGAAAGATAATATAGTTCAACTGTTTTCATTTCTTTTATGCGGTTCTCGTCACACATAAAACGCAGTTTTAACAGATTATTCAGCCCATTGACTTGATTCATATGAGTTGTAATCGTATTTGTGTACTACTTCTTGTCCAGATATGGCCACCGCCAGCAGTCTGCTGTCAGAGGACAAGTTCCTCTGTTCTATCTGCCTGGATGTGTTCACTAAGCCGGTCACAACGCCATGTGGACACAACTTCTGCATTGCATGTATCCACATGTACTGGGACAGCAGGGACACTTGCCAGTGTCCACTATGCAAAAGGGTATTTCCCCAGAGACCTGAGCTCCAAGTCAACACTGTTATGTCCGAGTTAGCTGCTGAGTTTAAGACGTTGGTTCAAGTCAAAGCCTCAACTCCAGACCCACTACTTCCTGGAACAGCAGACGTTCTTTGTGATATCTGCTCTGAGATGAAGGAAAATGCAGTTAAATCTTGTCTGACGTGCCTGATGTCCTTCTGCAGAGCTCACCTCGAGCCACATCAGAGGGTTGCCAGTCTCAAGGGCCACACACTGTTAGACCCTGTGAAGAATCTCGACCACAGAATGTGCAAGACCCACGACAAGACAACAGAACTGTACTGCAGGACTGACCGGGCCTTTGTTTGTGTGTTGTGTCTCAAAACCGATCACAAGAGCCACAATGTCGTCCCACTTGAGGAAGAATACGAAGCAGCGATGGCGAAAAGAGACGAGGCGATGGCAAATGTCCAAAAGATGACACAATCTCGGTACGAGAAGATAGCCGAGGTCGAAAGGTCAGTTGATGTCAGCCAGGCGGAAGCTGAGAAAGAGAAAGAAGCCAGCGTGCAGGTCTTCACCGACTTGATCCGCTCCATCCAGAGAAGCCAGGCCGAGCTGGTCGGGGTGATCGAGGAGAGGCACGGAGCAGCAAAGCAGAAGGCTGAAGATTTGATCAGAGAGCTGAGGGTGGAGGTCGCAGAGCTCGAGAGCAGAAGCGTACAGCTGGAGCAGCTGTCACAGTCTAAGGATCACCACTATGTTCTCCAGAGTTTCCCGACCCTGCGCTCTCCTTCATACGCCAACCGGGCCGACATTGGCGTTCGCAGCGATCCGTCATTCGAGGCAGCGAGAGGCGCTGTGACTCTGCTGAAACAGAGAGTTGATGAAATTCTGGAGGAGCTTCCGGAGATCAAAATGAAAAGAATGAGAGAACATGCAGTGGACTTGACTTTTGATCCCGACACAGCATATTGTTCACTTGTCATAAGTCCGGATGGAAAACAAGTGAGAAATGCAGAAACAAAACAGAATCTTCCCTCCAATCCAAAGAGATTTAAAACATTTACAGAGGTTTTGGCTAAGGAGGGGTTCACAGCAGGGAAGTTTTACTACGAGGTGCAAGTGAAAGGAAACACTGAGTGGCTTGTTGGAGTGGTCGGAGAGTCTGTGAATAGAAAAGGGAAAGAAGCTCTGTCAGAGGAAAATGCATACTGGATCATTGGGCTTGATGAAGGAATATATATTACATCAAAATCACGTGATGTTGATCTCGCACTGAAAGAAAAGCTTCAGAATCTGGGCGTCTTTGTGGACTACAACAAAGGAGAGGTTTCTTTCTTTGATGTGAATTCTAAATCACATATCTATTCTTTCACTGGCTCCCACTTTAAAGAGGAACTTTTTCCATACTTCAGTTTTCAAAACAACACAGATGGAGCCCCTCTCATCATAACCCCTGTACCTCAAACACACAGGTTGTTTCTTCTTTAAAGACCACAGAATAAACAACATTGGTCTCTATTAACATGCTTAACAAATCTGCTTAAAGTATTACCAATACATTTCAGATGTTGTATAGGTAATCAAACCATCCTTGTTGTTTCTATCTGAAATGTTTTCTGCCCGTGCATGGATGTATAGAAGAAGTGTGACACTGTCTTTTGTCTACAGTGCAGTTTTCTTGTTTATGTGTAAACTAATGATTCTAATGTTTCACAGTGATATTGTCAGATCCTGTTGTATTATAATGGATGAGGTTATCAGTGTTGCGCTCATGTATATTTTGATCGGATTTTATTTTCCAAAATTTCACGCCAGACATTTTTTTTCTTTTATGTCATTTGAATGAAGACATGCTGTGTATACAGCCACTACTCTGACAATGTTTATCATAGTAAGACTTCTTTAAAGACGGCACTGGGGGAAAAAGGTCCAATGTGTAACAACTTGGTCATTTTGCTGGTTTCTTGTAATTTACAGTTGGCTTTTGTGCATTTGAAACATCTGACCGGAATAAACGAGACATGTAGACTCATTTTGTCATGTCATTTCTACCTGTAAGATTCACTCACAATAATAAACTCAAAGTTGTAAAGTGTTTAAACAACTCTTGACAATAGACATGACCTATTTTAGTTTGTAGGTTCAGTGTTTTGCACAAAGACAGTTCGACGTCGAGGGGTTTGAACGAAAGCTACATCTCACCTCAAACCCCACCCGCTAGAAACCCGTCTCAGTGAGCCCCGCCTCCTTGCAGCTCTTAATAGTTTAGGTGGCTGATGCTACTCACAGAATAGAATATCTGCTTTGTGAGATTTGTAAGTCAGTCAATAGTAGTCTGCCCTCAGCTTTCACTCCTGCCCCCACACTGGCGTGTGTGTGTGTGTGTGTGTGTGTGTGTGTGTGTGTGTGTGGATGCACACATTATCCTCGAGTGTGATGCGTGGGCCGATGTTCTTCAGCACTACTGATGGAGCTCATCCATAACTGTGACTAAAACCTGGTGTGTTTCATTGTGTTTCATTAATGGGACACAAGCCCAATATCTTGTGATAATTTTCAGAGATATTTATACTGAATCTTTCGTTACAGCATGAAATGAGTGAGGGCGTCAGTAGACTAATGAAAGCGATGCAGACAGCAACCGTATGCCATAGAGAATGGGAAACAAACGTCCAAAAGTACGAGATATTTATACATTTTCCAGGTGGAAGGCAGTATTTATTGTGGATAATTTTTTCATATTGTATGACTTTTAAAATGATAGTAATATAATTGCATATTTTGTATTGCTTTTACACTCTCATTTAAGACAAGGAAATTCCAGCTGGACATACCTTTTCTCTTTCAGTGACGTCTCTCCCTGACAGACAGATGCAGGTCAGCTCTGTCATCAGGTGCAAAATGGAAGTAGAATGATTTTAGGGTTGGCCCTACGTCAGGTTGACACCAAATATGAGTGAGCGCTCTAGTTCGTGGCCAGAATGAACACCAGGAAAGGGCAGTGAATATTGGAAGACATTGAAAAGACAAAAAGTCAGCATGTTATGCTTAAGAGCCTCACCAGAATCAGTGATGACACGTCAGGTGCTTCGTCTTTAGCAGCCAATAAAAAAAACACCTCGTGTGACTCTTCACTGATTGGGATGAAGTAAGATGGCGAATATGCTTGAAGGTTTCAAGTTTTATCATGATGCAGTTTCAAAAAGGTGCAGGATTTAAAAAAGAAGAAGAAGCAATTACCCTGACTATGTTTATCATATGAAGACTTGTATACAGAGTTTATAGACTTGCAGCTAGGTGAGCTGAATCTCTCTGATGACCCGACTCCACCCACTAGACTCCAGGAGGGAGAGGTTTGCTTGGAGACAGTTGTCACAGCAATTGATCACGATCACAACACTTGGAATTTAACAACATACATTGTGCACTATTGTGACTGGTCAGTTTTTTGATTTTTTTTCCTGTCCCTTTGTCTGCAGACTTGAAGAAGACATGAACATGAGCGATAACTCAAGAAATCAAGATGATTGAGATATACCTATGTTGCATTGATTATCGTTTTATATGAGATTACTATTCATTCTTGTGCATTCCTGATAATAAATGTACATAAATATCCTTTTCCATTCATTTATGATTCATGATAATTCATGCACCCATATCATAAAATATCACCAGTTGTTTTGTGTCTTATCCTCTTTGTTTTATTCATTTAGTTTATAATTGCTGATATATTGTCCCAGTGTCTCCTTCAAATAGCTTTCTGCAACATGACAATGAAAGACAAACTTGTAGAACTCCTTTTAGGTAACAATAGAACTACATGAATAATAAAAAAGAATACGTCTTTGAAACGTCGATTCTGATTGGCTGAACTGAATTCTGAATTTTCCTTAAAACTGCACAGCCATGACTATGTAATTTCAATAATTAATTCATGTATTACTGTAAATTGCCAGTAATGGGCAACAGGAACCTGCAAATGTCACAATATGTAATTCATTTAATAGTACCAGAAAGCATACAACCACATAGACAAAATAAACATTTCGTAGTCGACGTTATTTTTACCCAACACATAAAAAACCTATAATATGTTACATAAGCGAGCGGCTGAGAGGCTCATTGGTTGCCTTGCGGAGAGCTGATTTCTTTCTGCCTCTGTGGGAAAGTCTGGTGTGAGGAGAGGAGGAATCTGTCCTTGGGAGGCAGAGATTTAGACCTTCTTCTTTCTTTTTTTTGAGACGGTAACATATTTTCGTCACGATTCATTTCGTGTCAGCCGAGGGGCTCGTGTGTGACGGCAGTGCACACTCACAGTTTGAACCCTTTTTTAACTTATTCTCCGGTAACCCCCCCCCCCCGGGATTACGCAAAATGACTTTTTCCACAGCGCGCACGAGGATAAGAATTTCAGTCTGCGAGTCCCAATGCTGAGAGATGCCAAGCGAGTCCGAGAGAAGTAGAGGAGAATACCCGTTTTCTGGTGTGGACTTTTGTGTTCCAGACGTTTTTTTTGTTCTGTGGGTGACACTTTACATTTTCTGGAGTAGTCTTACCCAGAGATTTTAAAACCAGAGAGCAGGTATGACCGCAGTGTCTTGCACGAGGACTTCTTCTTCTAAGCGGGGCGCCCTGGTTGCTGGGTTGGTGGACACAAGGACTCCTGCTGGGATCAAACCTGCAACCTTTTAGTCGCAGCAGAGACCTTCCAGCCAACGGACGTCTCTGCCCATCCCTGAATCCTCGCTCCAAAACAACCTGTGTCTGATTCACTGTATGGATTGCTGTACGTTTCACCTGGCGCAAATCCATTTAACAATCCATTTAACTTTTCTACACTTCATTTGGTGATACCAAACCTCCTTTCGTCTGTATGGCAGCCATGTATCTGGTGGCTTAGTGTTATTCATTTATTTTTGACACGTTTCTATACACATTTCTACACTTTGAAGAGTTGTAGCGCAAATCTCGTCGGCTCTCATGGGACTGAGGCATTCGTCGCGTTGTTTGCTGCTTCGGCGGAAGATGGCGGAGGCGGACAGCTCGGAGGTAGGGACCTTGTGGTGTCCTGCACCCGGCAATAGCGGGACCGGGACAATGTCGTCATGCTTATTTGTATGGTGACAACACATTTGACTTGAATGTAATGCATGCTTCTTTGTTTTTCTTATTATTTTCTTCCCGTCATCGTAACCGCTTTGGAATCGATGTTGCGCTATGATGGCGCGCAAGCGAAGCAAAGTGCATTTTCTCAGTGTCTTGCAGATGTTGTGGGTAATCTGAGTAGATCGCTGTAATTGCAATAGTAGCGATAATGCACGCAGACGGGTTGTAGTCGGTGTTAAATGGTCAGCCTGAGATGTATGGACGTATTGAACGGGGCCGTGGCCGCTGTCCTTGGTGCTGAAATGGAACCTGCATCTTTGACCGGCTCTTCCCTGAGTCTCCACGTCTGTATAATGTCGAAGACTATATGTGAATTATTGACAGCTTATTATAGGAATCCTTTGTGGCTTGCAATTCATCTGCTAGCCCATAATATATTCAGGTCCACTGCATATACAATCCTCAAACCCTATGCTGGTTCTCTCATTCTTGTCTGTAAGTTATAATGCAAATTCTCCCCCTTTCCCTCCTTCTTTCTTCCCCTTAAACAGCGGCAGCAGCCTGTTACGTCCCCCCTCTCTCAGTCTGCCCAGCCCTCCCCACTGCCTAAACCAGTGCCTACTACCCGCCATGTGCCCTGCATCCCCCATACGCCTCATGTAGCAGCCCTGGCCAGCTGTCCTGGTCGGGGCAAGATTTCCAAGTTCATCAGCCCGGAGGAGATGACATCACGGGACTACTACTTCGACTCGTATGCCCACTTTGGCATCCATGAGGTAGGCAGGCCAGGCTGATAAACGGCAGCTTGGTATGTAAGACCGGAGTAAAAGAACAACAGCAGATGTCTAAGCTGATGCTCCTTAAACCGCCACATCATTTCAACCCTGTCGATGTAACGTAAACGATTGTAAAGTAACGGCAAAGAAGCCAAGTTTCATTCCTCCAGCGCTTTCAAACACGAGTTTAAACAAAGTATGAAACCAAGCCATCAAAAACATGATGATTCCAACAACTCTCAGAAGCCAATTGTTTAAAGCTCCTAGCACTTCTGGTAAAAAAAAATCAGTCAATACTTACTACACATCAAAATGTAACTTAATGATGCCCCCAAAGTAAACTCCAAATAAAAACCTGTGAGGCATCTGTCCGCCTACGAGCTCGGGGAGAAAAATAAATAAAAGAGAGTGGATGGTGTCTCACAGCTGACAAAAGAGGAGGCTTTTCCATTACCAGCTAGCACTAAAGAAACCAGATATGTGATAATAGTCCATGTTCAGTATTCCATCAATGAAAAGAATCTCTGTCTTTCTTTGACAGAAAGTGAACATCTAAGTATATATATATATATATATATATATATATATATAGCTATACCCTATACCTAATGACCTTGATCTGTGAGTGGTGGTGGGAAGGTTTGGGGACATATAGACCTTTTTTTAAATGGTGTCCACATTTAGCATGTGGGACAGGTTTTTGTCTGCTTGCAGACAAAGAGTGTGCCCTGATTAGAGGAGTGCAAAGCGAGAAAGACCAGAAAGCGGCATGAGTGAATGGGCTCAGGGAGATGGATATCAGGCCATCCCCAAAGGCTTTGTGTTTTACTCTATTTCAAGAAGCTCTGACATTGTCACTGAGGCTTTTGGCCTACATACTGCCTTATCTACCTCATTACACAAGAACATGTGTACACATTTGTATGTTCATTAAACAATATTCTATGTATTATGTATTCCTTTGGGGATTTTATGAATCCCACTATTCTTCAGGTACACCGGTTCAGTATGGAAGTGGTTTGCATGTTATTCTCGAATGCAAATCATTATGTACCACGGCTATGAGCTCTCGGTTTTTAATCTCTTTAATTCAAACAGGAGATGCTGAAGGACGAGGTGCGGACGCTGACCTACCGGAACGCCATGTACCACAACAAGCACGTGTTCAAAGACAAAATCGTCCTGGATGTCGGCAGCGGCACGGGGATCCTCTGTATGTTTGCCGCCAACGCCGGCGCCAAACACGTGTATGGGGTGAGGCGGATGGATGCACCTTTTAGCCACGAACAGATACAGTTTCTAATCTTCATTAGTATCATCCAACTGTTTCCGCTAATAAATATTAATGAGAGAATGAGAGAATGAGAGAGAGAGAGAGAGAGAGAGAGAGAGAGAGAGAGAGAGAGGATCCGCACACCTTTTCAGTGCCCAAATTGATATCATATCTGGCTCTGCTGTCACATTATGTGTCATCCGTGGCCTTTCCTTCTCCATATAAAACGAACTAATTCCTCGTTAGGGCCAGCTCCTTGTGTTCTGTTGAGAAATATCTTTCAGACAGTCTTACACAAAGAGAATAAGAGACATCTGGCTCCCCTCGTCAGACGTTATACTTTGCCGGCAGCGTCTCCCACAGTAATGTATAATGCATATACTGTATTACACTTATGGATGGGAGAGCAAAATGATGTATTAGTTTCCATGGTGCACCGGCTCTGAGGCGAGTGATCAGGGGCGTTAGTGTTTGGATGGATTTGAAGGGTTTGATTAAATTTGTCCTTTTGATATTACCTCAAAGGTTAACCGACTGTATGTAGGAAGTGAAAATGGTATCTAACACCATGGCAGGCCAAGTCCAATGGCGAGGAAATGTTTTTTTTTTCAACTAAGGAGCATATTACTTATGAATTATTAAAATTATGAAAAGTTACCAGAAGATAATGTAGATATTGCCACACACATGCAACAGTGTTCTTGTTCAGAAGACACCACCTCTGTGGTTTTGCCCTTGTGCCTATACAGATTGAATGTTCAAGCATATCCGAATATTCTGAGAAGATTATCAAGTCAAATCACCTACACAATGGTGAGTAGAAGTGGTTTCTCATTACTGCTCTATTTGTCATACCCGTCTGTCGGAATGCAGAACAGCCCGATGGCATCTGGATTAGATGCGACGTGAACAATCGGTATATTTCACATCATTAACGTCACACTCGACAACGTTAGTCACAGTTCTGATGGTTAACTGGCAGCTCGCCTCTGATGTCAAATAACCTGCCATCAATCAGAATTCCCTCAGTGTTGGTGATTCCTATTGTTAAGTGTCACCCTTAGCTTCACATTGTTTTGTTTCATCTTTTTTATTTACATCTCAGGTATTTTAAGATGATGGCCTTACTAAGGCATACAAGTGTCAATAGTGTTTTTCGTTTTTTAAATCTATCTCCTAGTTTCTCCATGGGTCAAAAAGAAAACAAGACAAATTCATGCATGAAGCACAGACGCATGCGTTGAGCGTAGTAATTAAAGCCATACTAATTTACAGAAATCCCAACGCATAAAAAAACAATGTCATCTGAGAATAGAGCTATTGTCCTGCATTAATGTTACGACGATGCCGTGCGGTAATTTGTTGCCTGCTGTACACCTCGCAGTCATTACCATCTTCAAGGGCAAGGTGGAGGAGGTGGAGCTGCCCGTGGAGAAGGTGGACATCATCATCTCGGAGTGGATGGGCTATTGCCTCTTCTACGAGTCCATGCTCAACACTGTCATCTTCGCCCGGGACAAGTGGCTGGTATGATAGTGCTGCTGGAGGCTTTAGGGACGGCTGGGTTTAGTGTGTGTGTGCGTGAGTGTGTGTGTGTGTGTGTGTGTGTGTGTGTAGCTGGTTGGACGAGTAAGGCTTTGGACACATAAACACACCAGACAATGATGAAGTAGAGGATTTACTGTACGCTTGTGTGCATGTGTATGCTGAGGTCAAATGTGAATGATCTGCTATTACCTCAGTAGTTGCCTGCAGGCTTTAAACTCCGCACATGTCAACGTATACTACATGGCAGGTGTGCGAACAGGAAAGGTGATGGATGGCCTCTGTGTGTGTGCACGTGTGTGTGTGCGTGTGTGTGTGTGCATTAATACCAGAAGCTTTTCTTGAATTCAGAAACCTGGAGGCCTGATGTTCCCTGACAGAGCAACTCTCTACGTGGTAGCCATTGAAGACAGGCAGTACAAAGACTTCAAGATACATTGTGAGTGATAATGGAAGATTTGTGTTTCTCTCTCTCTCTCCCTCTAAGCTGTGCAGTGCATTATTAATGGCCGCTGTGCAGATGAAGTCAAATTGTATGTTTCCACTTCCTAATAAGCCGTTCTTTTTAAGAGCTGGAGCTAAACGATTTGGAAAAAATCTGTTTGGCTGATATATTACGACAGACTGCGAGAATGAGTGAGTCATTAATAAAAGGCCATGTGGTTGTCACATTTTAATGAGCTATCAGGTCAGCAGTTATTAAAAATAAAGAGTTTCAACTGCAGAGTAACCCATCTGCAGTCCATTGATAAATGGATCTTGGTCAGCAGACATCAACTTACTTATTTGGAAAACTTCTACAAGTGGTCCAAATGTCTAGTTAGCTAGCAGAGTTAGAGTTACAACAGCTAAAAGGATTTTTCCCTACCCGGCAACTCAAATCATACATACAAGTGGCCATGGATGGGCTACTAAACGGGCCTACCGGGCACATGCCCAGGGGCCCAAAGTGTCAGGGGCCTATCTGGCCTTCACCTACAAAATGTACTCAAAGAAACGTAAAATGACTCCAAAGAGACCAAGACAACTACAAAGAGACACAAAACGACCACAAAGAGACACAAAACAACAAAATGCTAAACAATTATAAAGTCTGTGTGTCTTGCTCCTACATGCGAGAGGTGGTGGGGGCTTTGGCATGTCTGTGCCCAGGGGCCCATTGTCTCACATTGTGTCATCGCAAATGTCACTGATCGATAAACTAATAAAAAGTACATATTAACTATTAACAAAAGCATTATTTCCAACATAGAAACCCCGGTGTAACATTATAAAGTAGAAGCGTTATTTACACCAGCGAGGTGCCTTGATCCTGCAGTACATTCTGTGCTCTAAACTCACTTTATGTGTTCAAATATCTATCACAGCAAGAGTGATGAGCTTAACATTCTGATCCAGATCAAAGCACCAATAATAAAGGTACCATTCACACTTGCACTAAGGCATCGGATCCGGGTTAATAACTCCTGCTGAGTTTCCTTTTACTGCACAGGTGGTCTTCTCTGTTCTATTACATCTACGTGCACATAAAGGTTCACGCTTTCACATAAATCCCAGAAGAATTCAGTGTACCCAAACCCTTTGCGTTCTTATTTTTAGTTTCGGTCTGCGTCGGTGGCATATTCCACCTTCTCCTCGCTCAGACTTAGCGTTTGGCCCTCTGACAAGGCAAGGTGGAGTGGAGGGACAGAGGGAAAGGGGGAGGGAAAGCCTGCTCGGTGTGTTTGCAGCCCAAATTATAATATATAAAAAAGCCAGCCAGACATGGTGGAGGAGGCGGAGGAGTCCGGAGTCTATTTCCAGAGGGCCATGTCTTTCTCCACATAGAGACTGGATAGACAGAAAGGCAGCGTGAGTGGGGGAAGTTTTTTCCTGGTAGGGTTAAAGTGCTTTGTTATGATATTTTCTCTCCCACATTTGTTTTTTTGTGTGCTGACAGCCTGGCAGGAGCAGAGAGAACAGAGCTTTGCAAGTGGATACAAATTCAGAAAGTAAAGAAATACAGAAAACACATACTCTTCGCATGTGTTACTCATATGGGTGCTGTTTCCGTTTGTGTATGCACAGGGTGGGAAAACGTGTACGGGTTCGACATGAGCTGCATTCGCAATGTGGCCATCAGAGAGCCTCTGGTGGATGTGGTAGATCCCAAGCAGGTGGTGACTAACGCCTGCCTCCTAAAGGTTAGTCTACGTCTTTGTGTACGAATACATGCACGGTGAAGAACGTACCTCATGCAATAGTTTTTCCATGCCATATTGTATTTTTAAAAGCCTGCGTGTTTGAGGCAAACACGCAAGGTTTTTCATCTTTTGTGTTTTGCTACCAACTACATGCATCCTAAAAGAAATCCGAGACAGCGATCAATACCCAAGTCTGGCGAGGCTATTTTCTCGTACACAATAGAGGTTTCTGGGGAGCTTCCCCTGTGTTTCCATGCTTGTCTTATATCTCATAAATGAACAGAGGATAAGAGCACTCAGGGAGGTGATAGCTTTTTTTTGTTTACCCTGTCTACCTTTCATATCATTGCTTTCCCTCTTTCACTGTTCCTTCTCTCTGATTGATATCTTTTCTATTGTTATTATTTTGAGTTACCCATATCTTTTAATCCTCTCTCTCTTTTATTTTTTTGGTTCCATATCAATTTGTAGTCACATCTCTCACTCTTCCCTTCCTAATCACTTCTTCTTGCTCTTCATCTACCGTCACATTCTCTTGAATTAAGCAATGACATGCCTCAGTAGTTTGAGTGAATAAGGGGGGGGGGGGGTCTCACTCTGTCTCTCCCTCTGTGCGATGGTGAAATGTCACACAAAAGCAGGCATTGAGTCACCAGGCGGAATGAAATGGACTCGTATAGGCACCCACCATCCTTTTGTGTTCAAAAAGGTGATTTATGCGTCAGGTTGGAGGGGGGTTACTAGTTAAATAGTGATATGCGGTCTGAAAATTTCTGTTTCACGTGTATGTATTCGCTTATTCACACCTTCCCGCTGCCAGACACTTCACCCCATCTTAATTCAAACTGCCACTCATTCCTCACACGCTAAAAATTACAAAATCGCTCCCGGGGACTTCTTTTTTTTTTTTCTCTCTCTCTTCCCACAATTTGCTGTATATGACACTGGCCTGGCATCATTGGAAAGGACAGAGGTGTTAAATCACAATCTGCCATGCCGACGCCACATGGCCGAGCGATTCATAGGCCGAGGCGCGAGATGAACAGGTTGCAGTGTAAAATCCTCCCTCCCCCGTCCTCTTCCACACAACATCATCCACAGTGCATGCATGACCGTCTCCACTCCTATTTTGGAACCGCAGTGATGCCTGCCAGGTAACAAAATGTGATATTTAAATTGGTGGCCATATTCATGAGGCACTGCTTGATATAGACACAAGCGTACACACACGGACACACACAAACACACACACAGCCTCCCTCCCTTGTAGACTTGAGGGAGGACACCCACACAGCATGTGTACTGTGAACAGGCTTCGTTTGCCAGCCGTGATTCAACCTGTGGGCTTTCTCACACAAACGCTCACACATGCACAATAATCATGGGGAATAATCAAGCAAGGATTGACATACATGTACTGCATGTGTGTGAGAGATGGTGAGAGTGTGTGTGTGTGTGTGTGTGTGTGTGTGTGTGGGAGGGGGGGGGTGACGACTTGTGCGTGTCTGTGCTTGCACACGCTGTTTTACTATGACATGATATGTCATGAATTGAAAAAAGCACAGCTACGTATCTCTTGAAAGACGTCCTTGCAAAAATAAAGAGGAGTAAATAATCGTTTGCCTTTCTGTGCAGGAAGTGGACATCTACACTGTGAAGCCAGAGGACCTATCCTTCACCTCAGCCTTCTGTCTGCAGATCCAGCGCAACGATTACGTCCATGCACTGGTCACCTATTTCAACATTGAGTTCACCAAGTGTCACAAGAAGACTGGCTTCTCCACTGGTGAGTAGTGTGTGTGTGTTCACCCATGACCCGTAAAAAACGTACTCCGGCTAGTTGTCTACTTTATATCACACAAATAATCAAATATGGACAGGTTTTATGCAGCTCCACATAATGTGAATGGTAAAACTTTCCACAAAAAGACGAGGGTTAATGACATTTAAAGGATGCTCTGGCGCCCTGTGTTTGCACTGAGCACTTCTGGTAACGTGGCGTCGAGGACGCCCGTTATAGAGAGAGTTGCTATAAGCTGTTATGTAAGCTTATGTGAATACGTTCATGCATCCATTGCTTACATAATGTTGCGTAGAGGAGGTTCTATGTTCGGCTGAGTCTGTTGGGCCTGAGGCTGAGCATCACTGAAGGAGTTCAGCCTCTGTATTTCTCCCACTTGGTGAGCCAGTTTCAGGTGCTTTTGCTGTCAATTTTCCTCCATGTTAACATGCCCAGGGGAGCCAAGTGTCCCTTGGAACGGTTTTGTTATTTATATATGTTCTCACGCTCACCCTTTACTCCGTTCGTCTTTAACCTCCGTACACCTTTTTCCCCTGTTCCCTCATGTACACAATGTTCCTTCTGTCCTCTATCTCAGCTCCAGATGCTGCCAGCACACACTGGAAGCAGACAGTGTTTTACTTAGAGGACTACTTAACTGTCAAGAAGGGAGAGGAGATCTTTGGCAGTATTGCTGTGAGGCCGAATGAGAAGAATGTGGTAAGACTCGTAAAATAAAGACAAAATAGATTTGAATTTCTGGCAGAGAGCTAGTTTTATGTCACAGCTTCATCTGGATTTTTAACTTGACTAGTAGCTACAGCATAAATGTAGCCGAGTAGAAGGTACAATATTAAATTTCAAATTCCACCACTGCATTTTTAATCTGTGTGAAGATTTCGTTTTGGTTACCTTTTATAGCAAATGGATTTTTTTTTTGTCAGAAATGTACTTAATTCATTCATTTAAAATCGTGTCATCGTCTGCAGCGTGACCTGGAGTTCACTATGGAGCTCGACTTTAAAGGGCAACTATGTGAGGCCGCCATCTCCCACGACTACAAAATGCGTTAGGCGCAACAACAACCGACCAACTACCCTCAGCCCCTCTCGACACACTCCCGAGTATGGGGGACGGCGCAGCCTCTCCAACAGGCATTCCAGTTGGCCAGCGAGGGAGCGACCGGACACATCTGATTGGATGCCATATCATGCCAGCACCCCAAGTTGATGTCATCAGAAAAGGCAAATATCGATCAGCAATAGTGCTATCACCTGTACCAGCTTGATCGACTCGGGCACATCGTTGAATGTAACATCCTAAATGAACTTGATTTCTTTCTTTATTTTTCTGTCACTAATTTCTGGAAATGATGCTACATTTTGAGTATAAATGAGTCTTTGTATCGTTAGTGCAGCTAATTGAAAAGCATTGATCTGCGTGATGTCGAGAGGGTCACAGCACAGTCGTCATCTGATTTCCCTTTAGTCATTTGTTAAGATTTAATAGGCACTGTGTAATTGTTTAGAGGGTGCAGTGATTAATTGTGTTTTATTTGTTATTCATCATTTGCCAATTTCTTTTGCTTCATTGATTTCAGAAAGGTGAGAAATGTAATTTTTAAATTTCTTTAATTGGGGATAATTCAGAACAAACGTACTTTGGTGCCAGAATAAAACAGAGCAACGCCTCAGAACAGCAACAAACAGATGCAATATGTCATGTAACACTTTGTTTTGATCGGACAAAGAATATGAAAAGAAAAGAGATGAACAACGATGATGAATAAAATGTCAAAGAATCAAATTGTTCTCTCATGATTTTCATTTAAACAGCTATTTGAATGAATTTCAAATAATTTAGTTCAGTTGAAGCTTACATATAAAGTATGACTACATCAACATACACAAGACAAATACAAAGAAATCAAGACTTTTAAGCTAGCATTCATTCATGAAAAAACTACAGTTTATTTATGACTTCTCTATCGAAAGTAATTAAAATACAGAATATGTTTCTATTTTTAAATCCTATAGACAGCACTGTTGTGATTTGGCAACACAGCGTTATGTACAGGGAATGGGGCAGCACCTTATTTTTTACTTCAGATGAGCTCTTCCTCTGAGCCTCATCGTTCAAACTTGACAGAACTACACAGTCCTTGGTGTGGACTTCCAACATGTTGTGCATGTGTGAGTCAAAAAGAAGGCCGCTTGTTAAAAGACACATTCTCTGATAAAGTCAAAGAATGGTTTCATCGTTGTCTTATGACGCTGCAAAAAGTGATCTAGAACTTAGTAAATTGAGTTTACACTTCACTTGCAGCAGGCTTTCTTCTTTAAGGGCGGAGCACTCAGAATGACTGTTGTGTCTCTCACCCTGTCCTCCTGCTCCATTAGCACTCTGAGTGAAGACAGAGACACAGAGAGCACACTGCATGAGCCACCGACACTGTACACACACACACACACACACACACACACATCCATTTCCTCACAAAAGGTTGCAAGGACAAAGAGCCGTCAGTAATTTAATTATGCATCTGATGACTGGTGCGCAGGGAGTCTGTACGGTGTGTTCCTAGACAGCTATTGTTGTTTGACACCCTTATTAGATTCCCAGCTGTGATCTCACCTGGCCAGGTGTGTGAGGGACTCTGTCACATTCTTGGCAGTGTAGGCGCTGACCTCAAAGAACATCACCTTGTTTTCCTACACAGGGTTCGAAACAGAATTTAAATTTTGAGCGAGCATTTAAAATGAAACTATCCACGAGCTTTGAATAAAACTCACATCAGCCAGCTGCTCAGCTTCTTTGAATGACACCGCCCTCTTTCCATCCATGTCCATTTTGTTGCCCAAAATGAGGATGGGGATCCCTATTCCTGCTGCTTCCTGAAAACGACAAGTCCAGTGATTGTCATAATAGACATTTTTCCATGTCACAGTAGGAAAACAATGTTCAACATGCAACTACAAATGCTATAAACCCTATAAATACCAAAAAGCATCAATTCAAATAAAATCTGTGGAATCTTCCAACTCTACACATGAGAAAAGCACGCGCTGCAGAAGACTTCCTCGGGTCAAAGGTCAGACCTGGACATTGCTGAGCCAGGGTTGCACGGCCCTGAAGCTCTCCTTCACGGTGACGTCGTACATCACCACCACACCGTCGGCCTTGCGAAAGAACTGCTTGGTTATGCTGTGGTACCTGTGTCAATGACAGAGATTAACACTACACTGTACACACCTGCTAGTATTATATGATTCGAGTACACAATACTACTACTGTATCGTTGTATTGTTAAGATATCTTTAAAAGTGTAAGAAAAGTGATTTCCTTCAGTTAATTCATCCATTAAATATACTTCATAACAGGACACAGAAATCCACATTAATAGTGTATATATTTCAAAATATCCTACTTTTAAATACTTCTACACTAGTATGTGTTGCCTGGCAATGTATTTAGGGACAAATGTACACTTGTAGTAGTAATGCTTATTAGCATACTTATTTTAAGCTTAGTACAGTGAAGCACTACAAGAGGAACACCGAAATGATATTCTTAAAATGTATTTATTTGTACACTTAAAGTACAGACAATACGTAATGCATCCAAAAAAAACTGTCTAGACATTATATAATTTATACTAGGTCTTAGGGTGTGTTGCAGTTGGTAAATTATAATAATGTCAATACTACGTCTATTAATTATATGTTGATTTTACGAATCCAAGTTATGGTTTGAATGAAAATATATTCACAAGCTTTTGTTTTGTATGTAAAACTAAACAGAAACTCACCTCTCTTGACCTGCCGTGTCCCAAAGCTGCATGGCCACCTGCATATTGTCCAGGCTCAGTGTCTTCACACTGTAGTCAACACCTGAACAGCACACAAAGATCAATATCATTTAACCAGGATACAGACGGACAAAAGCGACCACTAGGGGGGTCCGGCGAGGTGTGATACCGACTGTGCCTCATTCCCGAGGAGGGGGGAGGGGGGGGCAAGATAACAAGGCTCAAGTGAGGATTGAGAAAGATGAAAGCGAGGAGAACAATTCATCAGATGTGACATAATCCGCAGTACAATGTGTGCCAGGACAGATGGGCAGTGTGACTTCACAAGCCCTCTCATGTGATGCTAAGTCACGCTCCGATCTTCTGTGTTAACATCCACAAACACATGCAACACAATACCATCGCGATGTTTCTCTTCTCACCCACAGTAGCTGTTGTGGTAGGGTGGAAACGGCCCTCACAGAAGGAGTGTAGCAGGGACGTCTTGCCTACACTCGAGTTTCCAACCAGGACCACTTTGAACAGGCGGTCCGGGGCAAACAGCGCTCCTTCTTTTGTCCTCTGAAGCAGATAAAACACGGGCAAAAGCAGAGAGACAGAAAAAGAATGTTTATCTGGTTCATTACCTCTTCAGGTAATAACACATTTACGTTAGGATCAAAACATATTTGGAGCTCCAAAGATGTGGACATACTTGCTGGGTCTCCTTCCCGACAGGCTGTCCACGAGGAGACATGGGCGTCTTTTTCGCGTGGGTAGAGCGGGATTTCCTTGCTGGAGGAGCTTCTGCCGACACGGGGACGTAACTAGAGGGTGGGTTGCTGGACAGGTCTGCCGCCAAGACGACACTTGTTTCAAAGTCACTCTGAGCTCCCTCTTCCTCCTCATCGTCATCCAGCTCGTCTTCCTCCTCACTGAGCTGGTGCAGTAAAAGTTGAGGCCCCCCATGGAGCAGGTGGGGCAGGTGGTCCTCCTCAATGGAGATGACCCGACGGAGGGGCCACCCATCTGGAGGGGCGTCCAGGACCTCCTCTTCCGCCTTCTTCTTAATTTCCACTTTCTTCGCTCTGTCTCTGTCTCTCGCCGTCACCCTCTTAGCGGCGGCCATCTTTCCGGGGGATTTCTTGGCCTTTGGCCTCACATCGTGCACTTTGGGTGGAGCGGGGTTGGCGTAACCGTTGGCTAAGCCAGAGTTTTTCTTCGCAGCGGGGCGTTGTTGACATGCGGGGGCGCCAACGGTGGCGGTGGAGGAAGAGGGGGCGGCAACGGGGGTGTCATCCTCACTACAGGAAGAGGAAGCAACAAACACGATATGAAGGTGCTCTATAGGCAGGGCCTCCAGAGACTGGTAGGACCCATCCACCAACAGTGGGGCTCTTTAAGAAACAGAGGAGAAACAGAGGATATACCGGGTCAATTCACTCGGCTGAGATGGAAATCTAGAGGCCAAAGCACTCAAAGGTTTCTGATTTTAGTCTCATCTAAACAAAAAAAGTTAATTCAGTGGATTATAGAATCAGATATCCTCTGTTTTTCCTCCTTTGATACATGATTTTGAAATCAAACTGAGGCGGACATTCTTCTTTGTCACACAGGAAACACTCTGACAGATGATTTGTGTTCAGGAGTGTTTGGAAGATAAATGAATCACCTTTTCGCTGGCTGGCTGGTGTCATCAAATATATTGGCAAGGCCCGTTCTCTGCTTCTGCTTCTTTCTGAGTGAGGTCCGGGGCTTGTTTAAACAAAGGGCGTGTATGTTAGTGTTACAGAGGTATTTGTTATCAATCAGGATGACGCCACGATAGATGCTGTGCAGTTTCATGAAAACGTATACTCACTACGCCGCAGCATATGTCCCGTTCGTCTTTTAAATGCTTGTTCATCTCTCTGGGGAGATTGAAAAGAGAAATGAATGAGAAAGATGGAATCTGCTGTGGAAAAGGATGCACAGGTTCGATATGAGCTCATGGGATATCATACCTGAGGAGGTCGAGCTGCTTCATGAGACTTTGCTTCTCTCTCTGCAGTCCCTCAGTTACTCTGTACATTTCCCTGAAACAAGACAAACTCAATATTCAGAAGACGAACAAGTGAGTATGTGTGTTTGTAGTCTTAGAGCCGAGACACTCTTCAATGATTCTTCATACAAACAATAATTAAAGCACGTGTAATAGGCGCGAGTACCCACATCTCTTTCTCCTGCTGCAGACGGGCGGCCTGCTCCTGCAGCATGGCCAGCTGTTCCTGGGCCAGCCCCAGGTCCTGGCTGGTGCCGTCCAGTGCTCGGGACAGCTCGTCGTTGGTCATCTTCAGCTTGACATTCTCCACGTGGCTCTCCTGCTTCTCACTGTTCAGCTCGAGGCACTGGAGTTCTAACTGGGAGAGGGAGAGATTCGCAGGAATGAAACGCACTAATGCCGGCTGAGTGTGCTTGAAGTATGTGTACAGTGGAAAGGGAGCTGTGTGGCTGCTGCTTGAACCCCTCCCTACAACAGAGGGAAGGATTAATACCATCTACATGCTTCAAATGTTTCAGCAGTTTGAATTTACTTTTATTTTCCACCTCAGTGCAGTAATAGTATCTAACCTTCGTTGTCTTACCGGAGTTGCACCAAGCCCTTCTTGACTAAATATAGGGGCAATCATTTAAAAGGAATGTTTGATATCTAGAAGTTGTGTGACGGGACGTTGTTTATTTAATGTGAGTGTTGAACATATACACGCACCCGTTTCTGCTTCTGGAATAGATGCTCCAGCTCTTTCTCCTTGGAGAACAGTTGATGCTCCAGGTCGTGGCTGTGCACCTGAACACGCTCAGCGTCCTGCACGGCCAGAAGAAGAAAAGGTCAAATAGTTCAGGAGTAGGCACATGATTAAGATCCCTTCCAGACATACACATATTCTGCACAGTAAAGGTCAAACATCCAAGCGAAGGAACAATAAACAAAAGACATTTATGACTGGAGGGGAACTTTAAACATTTGGCCAAAACAACAGAAATGTGTTGCAGTTATTTGGTTGCTACAAGAGGACTTGCATTGATAGGTTTCGTGTCTGCGTTTGAGCTCTTGCACCTTTAGTATCAGCCGGTCTTTCTCGTTTTTGATCTGCGCCTCCATCTCTTCGTATAAATAGCGGATCTCGCTGTCGTGTGTTGCAGCCTTCCTGCACAGAGGGACAGCAGAGACATTACATTTCAGGTTAATGGGGGAGCTGATGAAAGACACGCAGCGTGACATGATATAATATTAAAGGAACAGAACCGCATTGTTGTCTAGGTTGAGCTCAAAGCCGTGTCTTTAATTGCATGTAAATACTTGAGCACACGCAGCAACAGAGCTTCCTTTTCAAAAGAATACCGAGTGGTATTTACATTCCCTCTGACAATTGTTAAGACCCAAACAGCCAATTAGTAAAGTCTAGAGGAATAATAGCTGGTACAAAGTACCATGCAGTGCCATGGGAGAACTTGCGTATGTTTTACAAACAGCTTAAATCACAGATACCACTGGAACAAAATGAACCCGAACAATTTAATTAAAAGTATTCAAAACTTATATCTTAAATATCGTGAGCTAATGCCACAAACTTTCATATGCATTCACTACTGCACACACAAACACTGTAACTGATATAATTAGAATAATAATATTATTATTCATTCATCCATTATTTACTCATTTTTTTCTTTCTACCGACTTGTCCTTTTATTATTTATATTAATATTACTTTTGTTATTATTATCTCTGACAGGAGAATTATGCGATCGGTCTGTGAACAGAGACACCTGCAAATTTGGCAGTTTGCTCTGCATATCAAACAATTAAATATATTGACCAAGATATATTATACTTCTTATTGCTTTTGGTGTCCCTTCAGGCACAGTGTTAATGGATTTTTTTGCAAGAGCAGAAGGTGGTCTGACTTCAGAGCGGGCCTCCAGATTACTGGTCATTTGACACGGATAAAGAGGTCGTTCTACAGACAATTACAGGGAAATCCATGCAAACACGCACAGGCTGCGTCACACACAAACACAGATTATTTAGGTGTCTAATGAGAACATTTGCTTTAAATGGTACATGAAGTACGGTACTTAAACACTTTAAGTGTGGGAACCAATTGAGAAATGTGGTATTTTAATCCAGAATCTACTCTCGCTTTTCACACCTCTTTTTCACTTTACATGTCCCGTCTTTCACACTTAGAGACGCACAAAAATGGAGTAAAACACTACATTTTGAGGGAAAACAGGCTCTTCTTTTAGCCATGAGTGCAACCTCAAGCCGTGTAGTTCTACCTCTGTAGGGCGCTCTCCATCTCCTTCTTCTCCTTGTGGGCGTCTTTGATCTGGTGGGTGACCCTGGCCAGGAACTCCTCGAAATTGGACAGGAGATGAGGCTCATCCCGCCTGAGCTGAGCCCAAAGACTGCGCACCTCGCCTGGACTGGAGAGAGAGGGAGGAGGAGGAGGAGACACAAAGAGGGAGATTAGTCAAATTAAAGCACACCTCAGGGTTTCAAGTATGGATTGTGGCTGTCACACAGCGTGTATTCATGAGCAAAACACACCAAAAAAACAAACACAGAAGGATTTGCAGTGATTACACTCACTCCTCAAACACATTACTGGCCCCGAGGCTTTCCAGCAGCATACAGAAGTGCCCCTCCTCCTCGTCTTCACCGCCTGACAGCTTGGCTTCCCATTGGCTCTGATAAAGTGCTTCTTTGGCCCTAAAGACGGGGCCGGGGGCCTGGCTTTGGTCATCGGCCACAGAGATCCTCCGGCCATGCAGGAACTGACCTGAGATGCACCAACACCAGGAGGCAGCATGGATGTATGAATGGGTGGCAGCAGAATTTTTAGAGTAGCACGTGGACATTAGCTTTGGAAAAAAACACATTCTTCTTCGTGCAAATGAAACGGTGAAGTAAAAAAATGCACCTATGCTTGATTGAAAACACTCAGGGGGGGGGGGGGGGGTTTGCTGCTGCATTTGCAGCCTTACTTGCAAACTTTAGATAGAAGTTGTGTAACTGACATTACTGAGTGAGGTCATTGCCTTTATGACTCTACTCTACTTGTTACGCTACATTTTAGCATGTGTTATTATCCTGTCAACTTTACTTTTACAGCTCGATAAATTACAGTCCAACTAAAGCATTTGTAGACTTCAAACACAAAACAAAAGGAGCAACATGCATATCGTTTTCCATGAAAATATCTGAGTTTTCCTCTTTTGAAGTACTTGACACCGTATTTCATTGTCATTTAAACTTGAGATTTTCAGGCCTCTGACGGCAGTAGACCTACTGAATCCGGAGGAGAATGCCTCCAGCGTGAGGTAACCAGTGTGGTCCGTATCCAGAGAGTCAAACACATCCTCCAGCTCCTCTGCAGACAGAGGCAGCTGTCTGTGGAGCCTCTGCCAAGAAAACACAAACACACGAGGCGTTTAAACTGCTTGTCGTGCTGAGCAGGAACAGGAGTCCTCAGCATATAGAAAACATGTTCATAGACTACGGACGTGTTTAGTGAGGAGTTAGATTAAGACACTTTGAGCAAAATCAATAAATGTCACCTAAAAATTCAGAGCCTTAAATCCGCCATATCCAGCTCTGTATTGCTATAGCTTACCTATCGCTGAATAAACACTGGCACAAAGTGGCTCTTTTATGTGTCGCTGAACAAACAGCAACAAAAGGCCTGATGCTCACAAGGGCCCTGTCCTAATTAACCGACACTGCAGCGTGGATGTTAGCATTTTGAAGAGGCTTGTGTGTATTGTTCCTGCCAGTAAAATGGTGTGTGTGTGTGTGTGTGTGTGTGTGAGAGAGTGAGAGAGAGAGTTAGTTGAGGTGAACCTATCCTCCTAAACCTTTCCATCAATGGTGCTACTCTGCCACTTCACCGGCTGGAGGAGTGTGATGAGTGGGTGAAGTGCTTCTGTAAAAATGGGGATTATAAGATGAAAAACAAAAAGATTTCAGAATCGATTAAAATCGGCAAACATGACGGCGTTTCCCGCCTTGCCATTCACCGAGGTTACATCACGACGGGACACTTGGTTATGCCACAGGGATATGCGTGGCCCCTCGGCCTGTTGTTCTTCTTAGCGGAGGCTTAATGCATTCGCAGAGCATCAGTAGATGTTAAAAGGCAGAATGTAAAACCTTAAACAATGAGTTTAAGGCGACTAAGCAAGAAAAAACCTCTTTAAAGAAAACGTTTGTGCTTTAAAGGAAATATAAAATCAGGCAGAGCTGAAACAATGAATAAATTAACCAATTAGTTGTCAGAATATTCAACTGCAACAGTTTCTCTTTTTTTTTTAAAGAAATGCAAAAATGTGATCCAGCTTCTAAAATGTGCAAAAACGTGTCAGTCATTTTTCACAAACATCTGACCGTTTAAAAGACCAAACCATTAATTATCTAACCAAAAAGGTATTCAGCAGATTTGTCTTTAAGAAAATAAAACTAAATTGCAGCTCTAAGAACATGACATTGATGCCTCTGGGGATAAACTGGACAGCTCAGATCCCTTAAGGTATGCAGACTTAGTCTCCTCAATCCAACTTCAGCGTGATAGAAACACATTAACAGCGCACACACACGTCCTGCTTCTCTAACCCTCATGTCAGTGCGGGATATAAAGCCATTGCCCTCCACATCGCAGGTCTGGAAGAACTCCTTGGTCTTGTCCAGCAGGGCGATTCGCCCCCAGTCTGAGTTCCTCCTCCCTGGGGTCAGTCCGCAGCCGTTCACCCGGCCTTCCTCCATGTCGGGGACTTCTTTTTAAAGGTGCGTGTGTGAGTGGCATGAACTTCAGTTCATTCAGGAGTAGACTCAGACATCAGGCCTCCTCATTGGCCCTGTATCCACTGCTCTGGGGCTCTTACAGTCGCCATGACGACAAAGACAGGAAGTAGCGTCCGGTGATGAGATCACTGATAACTTTGTGGTTTATGAATATACCAAAAATGGTTGCAGGCTCCTGTGAGACAGAGAGAAATAGTATAAATACAGCAGTCAAACTTAACTGAAAAGGTGACTTTTTGAGTGAACTGGTGGTCAAATGCACGGTTACACAAGTGATCAGAACATTAATGCAACAGTACCACACTTCTCACGACGATACAGTACTTCCCCTTTCTAATAAGCCAGCAACAAGCAACTCACAAAAGGCATGTAAACACAGTGTAAAGGATTATCTTAATACCCGGCTGTACAGAACACATGACAGCATAATGCCTGCAAGAGCGCCAGAGCCGTTTCCAAGAGGCCGAGTCACAGCTCAGTTCAGAGCTGTGATGTATGAAACAGTAGTTTCTTGTTTTGTTGCCACAACTTAACCGCAAGACAACTTTTTGATGCGCTGGTCTTGCTTGCATTGTAAAGAGCTGTGCTGTAGTTTGCAGAAATGTAAGACGCAGTCAAGATGTGTCGACTAACCTGTCGTGGTGGAAAGGTTTGTTTTATTTGTTAGTTAGACGTTTGCACCAAACAAAACGTAATGCTTAAAAACTGTAAATTAGTCGTTAAATACATTACACTCCCTTTAGTATCCTCATAGGACTTTTTGAACACACATGCATTGTCTTCAAGCACACACTTCAAGTATGTTAGCCTCTGTAGAATAACATTACTACCAAAAACTCTTCTAAATATGAAGTATGAAGGACACAGAAAGTTTTGGGCCTTTCTTTAAAACAAACACAAAACTTGTGGCAAATTCTCTCTGCTCCAAACCTTCCTACTTTAGCTTTAACACACTTTCTAGTCAACTACAAACAGCATCTTTAAATAAACCAGAAACAGAAGGAAAGCTCTCTTACCGTTTACAAAATGACAAGCACAAGAAACTGAAGCCTTTCTTCTTCTCTCGGTATCAACAGAGCAGTGAGCGCGCTGTGTTTAGGAAGTCTTGCCTCACAGAAGAATGTCAGAGAAGTCATTCTGCAACCATGTGATGTCATGAGGAAGCGGCCGCCCAGCAACCCACCGAGGGAGGAGGTTGCTGGGCGAGCTGGCTTTAAGCGGACTACGTGTGTGCAACAGGTTTAAACATCGCCTGATGACAGCAGGCGTAAGAACAGACCAGCATCTTAAATGTTATTTACAGAGGTTTTATTAATTACAGTGGCATGTTTACAGCTCGGCATTACCAAAGTTAAATCAGAAAATAAAAGATTATAACGTTTAATTCAAGGATTTGTAAATGTTTATGGGTTAATAAACTCTAAACTGGTTTACTGTTGCTAAATTACAGCTTATGTAATGATTATTAGGTTTCATGGTAATAAGCTACAAGTGGGATGTGTCGACCATTTGAAATGAACAGCGAACATGAACATGAAGCTAAAACGTTTGGTGATTAATAAAAGTCTAACATGAGCATGTTTTCCCATCTCTCCGTGTCTTACAACGCCATCTTGTGGTCCGAGTTTAAAATTAGCAATTTAATTGGTTTTTCCGGGGGAAAATAACAGTATTTAATGTGTCTGAAAAGCACAATCCTGATTGTCCTCAGGTTGTTATTTGCAACAGGGTGATTCGATACCACAGTCGAATAAAAGTAAAGGTCCGCTCTCTTAATTCTTCAGTACCAGCTCTGACTTTGGGAGTCATTTCCCGGTTCCTTGGGTGATCTTCTGAAGCAAATAGTCCATTTGGAGGTTCAGATTGGGCTGTCCTTTCTTGGTCTTTCTGCTCAGCATCTGAAACGTCTCCAACTTTTTCTCTTTGTACTTCTGAATGGCTTCGTTTCTCTGCTGGCTGCTTTTCAGATACTCCTGGGATTACACAGGACATGCATTCAAAAGAAAAAGAAACCGGTCAGACTGCAATTAATTCGGAGTCATAGGTAAACGTTAACAAATAAACAATAAAATAAAAAGGTAAATATTTCACCTCTTTCTTCTTTTTCCTTTTTTCTGTGATTGCCTCAAATTCCTCTTTTGTCTTCTGGTAGGACGTCTTCTTCAGCACTTTTTTCCTCATGCGGTTGCTCATTGGAAGGCTGGAAGAGAATATCATTTAGGCAGTATTAATCTGTTTCCCAATCTGCTCAGCACTCCAATTCAAGAAATGTTCATGTTTTGCAATTAAACTGTTCCCTTCATCACAGGTTTAGGTAGTGATTGAACTTCTCTATGTCTTTATACAGTCCCTTAGATCACTTAAAGTCACTCTGAATCTCACAAATTCAGGCTTATGTTTAGGAGATTAGAGTCAAGACATTTTCTCACCCGTCTTTCTCTGCAGCTGCTCTTGTTTCAGGATTCTCAGTGGCAGAATCTGTCCGCTCAGAACTACCAGTAACTTCTGGATCGGGCTCCTCCTCCTCCTCAGCAGCAGCAGCAGCAGTAGCCTCATTCTCACCCCTCTCCTCCTCTTCCTTCTCCTGCCATTTCATTCTCAGTTTACTCCTGTTCAGTCTATTGGTCCAGGCTTCGTTCTTCAGTTTCTTGGCCTCGGCTTCGTATAGGTGCCTGAGGTGTTCCGGGTAGTCCTCCTTGTACATTGCTTTGGACTCTGGGTGTCTCCTCCTCTCCTTCCGCAGCAGCTTGTTGTACTCATGTTTGACCTTTTCTTTCCTCTTTAAAGCAAACCCCTGACCTGAGGACGGAAGACAAAGGCATACCATTGGAAATGAAGTCAACCATATATTTTAATACAGGTTTGCTTGGTGGACCTTTAAATGCTGGATTTATTGAAAGTCTGATATATTTGGCAAAATAAGATTTTAGCTAAGATCAAAGTGTGTCACGTAGAAATGCCATTTTAACTCCCATCATGTATCAAACTGTTGTTCCTCACTACTCACGTTAGTTGTATTTAGCAATAACGTACCTTCCTTAACACTGCCTTCGTATACTTTCTGCTCGGGGACCCATTTCCTCTTCTGCTTGACACCCTGGCCGTTATTGTTTGACTTCTTCCAGTTGCCATCTTTCGCGGTAAACTTCTTAGTCTTCCTTTGTTGATCCGTCGGCGCCATTTGAGTTAAAACTTGCCAGGTAAAGTCAAATGTTTACCACAATCATGCGGGTTCGGGTCGCACGCCGTTTCCTCACAGTCGCGGTGTGATGACGCGTTTACAGCAGGCATGAATAATCGATTACGGAGCCACCAACTTTGATACAATTTATTGAAATTTCAGAGGCAAATCTGATGCAGTATTTTGGCACATATGAAATGCCTACCGTTCTATGTACGCTACTGTATATTTTGTTTAAAAAATACATATTGTAAAATCATCGAACAGTCTTTTCGACTGCTTATGTCTAGGCGTACATCAGCAGTGGACGACGACTTACATGCTTCACTCGGGCCTCCTTTAGAGAGCTTTTTAATATGTTATCCGCTGAATACAGCCTCGCAGAAATTCAACGTCGAATAGATGAAGTTCAGCGGTTTCTGTCTGTAACACTGAGCATCGCCAATGCTCACACTGTGGAGTTTTACACTCACGACGCGTGGAACCGCTTCATGGCCGTGCCACCTCAGCAGGTCCTGTCAACGGTTGGTTCATGTAGTGACCAGCAGGGGGAGCCAGAACACAAAGCAAATGGTAACTACCATATAAATATACATTTACATATAAAATACCACATAAATATATATTTGCTTTATATTTGACTGTGTATAGTTTTAGTATCTATCATACACACAGAGTGAAATTCAAAGTTCCACGAGTTCCTGTGTCTGTTTCCAGAATCAGAGCAAACCGGGACCACATTTGGGTTTTGCAATGATACAAACCGGCTGGTTGACACCCGAGAACTGTTCCAGGCGGCTAAGGCCCATTCTCTCCCTGGCCTTGGAGTCTGCATGAGCAGGGATGAGCTACTGCAGGTCCTCAGAGGGAACGGGCCCGAGTCTGGTGCTCCAGTAGCAGCTATAGGTAGGACAGAGTGGACTGTCTGAGCACATTGTTCCATGCTGAGGGTATAGGAAACCAGGCAAGGAATGTCCAGCTGTGTGTTTTATTTCGTAAAGGTACATTGCACGCAAATATGACTTTTGTTCTGTCTAACCCAGATGCTGAGCTGGTGACGGACGAGTTTATGAACTCGAAGAAATCCCACGAGGTCAAGTCCATGTCTGAGGTGGTGGCGTGTCTGGCCCAGTGCTGCAGAGTCAAACAGGTCGAGTGACATTTTTGAACTTGCAATGAAAACCTTAAAGGCTCTGTTTAGGAGAGGTTTGATAGAACTTTTATCCCAGCAACCTGATTTGGTTACTCTCTCTCTCCGTCCAGGTGATAGATGTCGGCTCGGGGAAGGGCTACCTGAGCTCCTTTCTGTCTCTGCAATACCGCCTCCGGGTCTACGGCATCGACTCCTCCAGCACCAACACCCACGGGGCCCAGGAGAGGAACCGGAAAATGAAAAAGTTCTCCAGGGCGTACCAGAAACACAACAAGGCAGTGATGGCACAGGGAGAGGCCACACTTTCACCTCAGGAGGAGTTAGTAGACGTAAAGCCTGGACTAGATGGAGACGACGATGTCGTGTATGGCGATGGGGTAGGAACTGTGTCTCAGGAGGAGCAGGTGTTAATCGGCCTATCAGACGTCAACCCTGCAGTGGAAAGGCATTCAGAGTCGAACCCAGACACAGAGGAGCTCTTCCTCAGCGCCCTATCGGTGGATGTGATACAGCCTGCATCCCCCAGAGTTCCCTCCAGCCAACTGAGCGCCGAGGAGAGGGAGAGGAGGAAGAGGGAGAACCTGGAGAGGAAAGCTCAGAACAGAAGCGGCGGCGGCAGCGTCATGTTTTCTCCCCTCACTTCTTACGTTACCGCTGAAACGGAGCTCCGAGAGCTCATCAACGAGCTGGAGGTGAGCAGATCCAAAGTTTTAAAAAGAAAAGTAAACGTTGGAAATAGATCTACTGTGTGTTTGGGTGCCGATAGGAGGCCAACCGCAGAGTATAGTAGCAAAGCTCGATTCCCACAGCAGCTTCTGAAGTTATGAGTCTTGCCACAGCAGCTGGAGTTCGCATTACTGGAGCAAATGTTAGATGTTTTTTTGCAGTGCCAAATCTGCAAGCGTGTCACCATCAATACATTTTACCATCAATCTCCTCCCCCCACCTCCCTCTCCCCTTCTTTTGTTCTCTCCTCTCTCTCTCCGCACGCTTTCTCCGAGATTCCAGGATGCGGTCATGGTCGGCCTGCACACGTGCGGCGACTTGGGTCCCAGCACCCTGAGGATGTTTGCGGCGAAACCGGAGTTGGCCGCAGTCTGCAGCGTGGGCTGCTGCTATCACCTGCTGTCTGAGGAGTTTGAACCCGCCGCCGGACAGGGTAACCAAAACGCACACACACACACACACACACACACACACTGGCAGTGACACACAGAGATGCAGATCACAGCCAGGGACAGATAAGTGTGTGTCTGTCTCTCTGTGTCTTAGAAAAGCTGTGACAGTCACACTCCGCCTGTTTTTTCAAGGAACATATGGTTTCCGTCTTCTTCACTCGCACACATCCCATAACTCGAAACCTCAGACACCTGCAGCGTCCACTTCATCACTCTGACCCAATCCGAAAGGAAATATTACCTTCCCACGCGAAGCCACATAAACACTTATAGTCATATTTTACAGTAAACAAGTCAAATGTTCCGCTGAGAGTCTGGAGACTCAGCCAAGCTGCCTGCTTCTGGAGATTGAGTTTGAGCTTCCGAAACTCGCCGTTTGAGCCATCAGAGTGGATTTACGGAGTGGATTTAGGAGAGCCGTTCAAGGCTGCTGAAATTGTGATTGATTCCATGTCTAGCGTGTTGTATGCTCTTGGTTTAGTAGGACTTCACTGTTATTTAGTTAGCCTGGACTTCAGGATAATAGACCGACACCGTCCTCTTTTCATACTCCTTCACTGCTCAGTTTACAAGGTATGAAGTCGTCTACATGCGTCCTCGCTGCAGTGACTGCAGCCTCTGCCTCACTATAAGAACGAGCCCTCGCTACAGTCGATACCGTGTCGCGTCATCTCCCGTTAACGGCGTGACCTGCGACCCCTCGCGTCTTCGGGAGCCCGTCGTGGCATCAGCCAAGAGCGAGCGGAAAAATTATATCACGACGGTTCATTGAAAACACTTCTTTCCACGCTTGTTTCCCGAACTCCAGCTGATCTCTTAAAGAAGTGAACAAAGGCACGCACACACACACACACACACACACACGCACACACACGCACACATTCTCTCCCCTGTTGGCCTTACAGTGCAGTCTGGGATGCAGGCCAGCCCCTGTGTTGGCCTGTCTCACACTAAAACAGAGCTGAAAAGCTTTATTATAGAAGGCTTAATTTATGTGATTGTGCTGATTTGGGAATGAAGCGATTACTTAATTGCGTCAACCACGTTTAGAACCTTATGTGGAATCCGGAGTCCAATGTCTGTCGTGCTGTTTACTCACAACAAGTTAAGTACATTCTGGCGTCTTAAACTCTGGAGCCAGCGTGTCTCCTCACAAAACATTTGCAAATGTACGATGGCACCACAAGGACAAATCCGAAATATTTGTACGTAGGCCACTTCAGATGCGAACTCTGTGGCCAACATGAGGTTAGCTACTACAAACAGATCTCTGTATGTGCTGTAAAGGCTCGTCCACTTCGATTGCCTTCAGAGGGCCCGTGTCAGCAAGCCACGTGTCTGTGCTGCACATGTTACGACTGCTTCTTTTGACGGCATCCCTCTGGATTCAATGCGCCTTGGCCTCAGTCACTGACCTTTTTAGAGATGACATGAAAAGGATGGCAGGCTGTCAAGTAGTCACATTCAGTACCCTCCTAGTGGGAATCTGTGTGTGTGTGTGTGTGTGTGTGTGTGTGTGTGTGTGTGTGTGTGTGTGTGTGCGTGTGCGTGTTAAGCTCTGCTACGGTTAAAACATGTGTGGAGCTTATTGCTCGTCTCACAACAGCAGACACAGGTCTCTTTAAGGCTTAGATATTAGGGAGCAATGAGTTTTATCTTAATTCTTCAATTCAAAGACATAAAAGAAGAGGATGGAATTCTTTTGTCTTTATAAATTAGAAATAAAATCCTACTGCTCTCTTGAAGTTTCCCTTTGCACATATTTAAAATTCACACCGCCTGATTGCCGTTGTTTGAAAAGCCGCCTTTAATCAACCAGAAGGGATCCATCAGTTGTTATCTCCGTGCGTTCCCTCGCAGAGTGCTCGCGTGGCGTGTGTGGTTTCCCTCTGAGCCAGTACCTCCGCGACCGGTCCTGGTTCTGCGGCAGAAACGCCAGGATGTCGGCTTGTTTGGTGAGTTTGTGCGACAGTGCGAATCTTTCCCACATAAACATGTTAACGGCCCTTTTTTTTAAATTACTGTACGAGGGTATGTTGATGAAGCAGTTTTTTACCTCACGACTACAGCTTCAGCTCAGTTTTTCCCAAGAATTGTCTTAACGCTCTTCCATTTTTCAAAAAAAAAAAACAGGCCCTGGAGAGAGTTTCACACGGCCAAGGGGTAAGTAAGGCATGCGTGCTAATTGCAATCAATATATAAATTCATAGCCACCATCGCATTAAATGTCTTTCTCCAAACTGTCACTGCTTCAAACCCATCAAAACAAATCTGCGAAGTCCTTTCAAACATCGGTGTTCACAATCACTCCAGACTGCGTTATCTTCATCGTAGATCTTCAAACAGCCTGTGATCGACTACAGTGTGTTTATTTCGGAGCTCCGGGCCAAAAGCCTGATACACGATCCCACCATCCATTAATATGGAATGTTTATAAATATTAATGCAATCACGGTGAGATTGATTACTTGTTGGAAGTAAGGGTCTGAATCCAAAGAGCAGGCTGATTGCTTGCTAGATCTTGCATCAGGCTTGGAAAGTGTCAGAAATATTCATCAACTGTTCCGTAGACACGCTGAGCGAAACACACGGGAGAAGCGATCTCTTTAAGAAGTACAGCAAACTGCATCATGTTGAGTCGTCTTTGATCTGTCCTGCAGATTCAGATGGAGTCTCTGTTCTACCGAGCCGTCCTTCACGTCATTCTGAGGGATCACTACGGCTGCTTTAAAAGGTATCATCCAGCGGTTTGCATCTGGCATCACTTTAATAGGAGGAAATTACAGCAAGTGTACAGCACTTAAAATGTCTTCCGGGTGTTATTTAACAGTGTCAACACACAGGAACACATGTGAGCTCCACACTTCATTTCAGTGGCAGTCGAAAGTATTTTAGTTTGGTTACGAACGAGCAAAGTAGCAGAGCAAATATTTGCATCATTGACTTTAGTGCTGAAACAAAGTGGTCAATTTCAGATTTCAGTCTTGGACTTTAAGTTGGACAAAACAAGCTTTTTGTAGACGTCATCTTGGGCTCTAGGAATGTGTGAGATGCATTTTCTTTTCAAATATACGATGACAAAAGGAGGTGAGCCGTTGCATGCAGAAAATAAAAAAAACAAATATGCTTAATATGTGCACAAATACAGTCACGAAATAACATAAAAGACACTAGTTTGGTTTCCAAATGTGTTCAATTCTCTCACTTTTCTGCAGTCAGCTGCTACGTTCATAAGAGTTTATAGATAATGAATAAGAACAATAAACACATTATTGGATAAAGACAGAAAAAAAAAGCTGGATTTGTTTTTTATTTGTATGAATGGATCTTTTCTGCTCATATAGTTCCTAGAGGAGCATGAAGAATGAGGTCCAGATCCTCACTAGATTACCACCATTGCAGCACCTATTCATCACAGTCTAGTCCTTTTAGAAGTGTCTTCACTGTTTGATTCCGGTTGCTAATGTTGTTTGTGTCACCGGGCAGGAATGAGACGTTCAGACCTATATTTTGTGTTTGCTCTGCAGTGAGAAGCGAGTTGGGAATGTCTACTCCAAGGCTAAATCCTTCGTGGACTACGTCCGTCGAGCTCTACGCAGGCTGGAACTGGACGAATCAAAGGTGAGGGCCAGAATATCACACTCGTCTTACAAAAACAAGGCCTCCCAGAAACCAACTGTGGCAGTCTTCGTTTTGGCAGAATTAGAGGGAAAATATGTCCTCGTTGGTGTTTAGGCACCAGGATGCATGCCCACATATTCAGTGCCACTTTCATTCATTAAAGTCCGGACTCTCACGCATGATGCTATGCTTCTCGTCAGCTCTCTGACGGTGACGTCCAGGATTACCACGACACGTACAGACCACGAATGGGCGAGATGCATGCCTTTAATATGGTGAGTCCTCGGTCATGATTTAGCTGAACACGCTGATTACGAGAAAAACATTTTTCATTCCTGTAAAAATGAGATGTTTAATGCCAATAAATTGCAGACCATTAAGTGAGATCACCGTAGTCTGCTGGTTGTACAGAACGGGAAGAAAAGGAGCCTCTGGTTGCAGCCGAGACCACTAATTGAAGTGTCAACCAACATACCAATTTTCTGTCATGACACAAAGCAGTAGAATGTTTTTTTGGGGATCGCCCACCAGCTACCGGGAAGACACTGGTCATGGTGGGTTTTCGTATGTAGAGTCAGTATTGGGAGTAGCTGGAAAAGGGATAACCTACAAGCAACTTTGCATCAGAAAAGCACTGATATGAAATAAAGAAACATATATTTAAAATCATCTCATGTCGTCATCTTTGTGCAGTTGAAGGTGACCCTGGCTCCCTGTATTGAAGGTCTGATTCTCCTGGATCGCCTCTGCTACCTGAAAGAGCAGGTAAAGTCATCTCAGTCGGGACACGCTCATCAGTCGGTCATCGCTAAAATAATCTGAATTCATTTTTGGAGGCGTGGCTCTGCTCTCACGATGAACCCCCTTTGAAAGAACCTGGAATACATGAGGTCATACTGAATAGACACAAAGCATAGAATTTGTGTAGATGTAGAAATAGAGCGCCAACTCAATTTGTTTCTATCGTCCGCCAACTGTAGTGGTTAGTTCATGATTATAGATATTAGAAAAAGCATGTGGAGCAGGTATAAAAAAAGATTCCTAACTGACTTAAGCAGCTGTGTGACACACACGGCTCACTCTTCCTCCCCGTCCCAGCTGGACTCCTCTTTATAATCTGCTCGTACAGCTCGTTGATTGGGATTTTAAATGTGCTTCCCGTGTGATGAAAGCAAAGACGCAGAAATCTCAGCTGAGATCTCCGACAATAATATAGGTGTCGACTAAATTAAAGCCAGCCCGCAATTTGACGTTTCATGCTTCTGCAGCCAAACACAACATCCCGTAATCTTCAGCCCGAGTCAGTCTGATGGGACGTGTAGAAGCCGAGAAGTTTTTTGAAGTCGTGATTGCATGCGTGGCTGTGTGTCAGATGGGACTTCCTCAATAGGGTCCTGTAATCAAACTACATCACGTCGAGAGCGCTGCTCAGCTTTGAGCGATCTCCCCGGAGGAGGAGCAGAGGAGGGAAAAAGAGGAGGTGATGAATGGATGTGAATATGATCCATGTGATGATAAGCGTGCTGCAGCATGAGTTGTGATTATTACTCAGAAACATACTGTAGCTTTTGTGTAGGTTTCCATAGAGCGTTGATAGTCAAACAGTGATGCACTTGTTAAGCAATGTGTACACTGTGACGCGATGTCTGCTGAAAGGTCAAAGGTCCAAAAATTGTCGGATGAAATATGCGTTGGTGATCGTGTGTGTTAGCAACGAATCCAAAGAGTTTCATTCCTCAAACAATCAAGGAAACTAGTGTTGTGTGTGTGCTGTTTCTAGCGATGGGATGTTGGTGTGTTGGTCAACCACTGTGGTCCAGAAATATCTCATTTGACGGATTGCCATGGCATTTCACACAGGCATTCATTGTCCCCAGAGGATGAATCTTACGGACTTTTGGGATCCCCTGACTTTTTCATCTGGCTCCACCATGAAGTTGACATTTGTGCTTTAGAGTGAAACGTCTCAACAGCTATTGGGATAGATGTGCCACTGCACAGACATTCGTGGTTCCCAGAGGATGAATCATAACCCACTTTGGTGATCCCTTCTTTCCATATAGCGCCACCATCAGTAGTGCTAACTCAAATGTTAGCATGCTAACTTGCTAAACCAAGATTGGTAAACATGGTAAACATTATTCCTTTTTATGAGAAAACCAGTTGCAGCTTTTGCAGTTAGATCAAAATCAAATTTAATGTGAAGACTAATTCAATTAGAGGATTAATGGGTTTTCCCATTCTGCCGTCATTTAATGGATGCAGTAAAAGTAAGCCTTCAACAGCAGCTAGTGTGGCCGATGACTTCGTCCTGTTTCTTCTCCAAAATGACCTATTACTGCACAGATAGCCACCGAGGAAAACAAACGTGTTCTACACATGAACAGGGGTCCACCTGACACAATATTTGTACAGATGTTTCTTCTCTGGGGATTCAATAGAGACCTCTAACGGGGAGAACATCACACAGCAGAGGATGCCAGGGGGGGGGCTCACAAAGCTAAGCTTGGAGGAGGATCTAGACTTTTATATCCACGTGTTTTTTATTCAGCTCTATTGTGTTTCCTTGTGTCCTACAGGAGGATTTATCGTTCTCTGCACTGGTGCAGCTCTTTGATCCCCTGCTGTCTCCGAGATGTTACGCTGTCGTCGGACTGAAGAGTTAAGAAGACAGAATCTCATGTTGATTAACAAACATATGCCTGTGATTACAATACACTGCTTGAGAGGTCATGATTATACATGATTGTATCAGCACACTTGAGCGATTGTGTTGTGTATGTTTTCTCTCCTGCTCGTTTTGATTATATGTATGATTTAATCTAAATTTAGCAATTTATTTATGCAGCCTCTGTATCACTTTCAGCCACATCTTGGTTTGTTTCATATACACTTTACTGAAAAATAAATCTCCAGAATGTTTAGCTTTTAGTCCTTGACTTTGTACGTCTTCATAAAAACATATGGTCAAAACACCTGGAAAAACTGTCAGTCCTGTTTGATTGGATTGTGTCCATCTCAGGTTTTTGTCTTTCGTGAGTCTTGAGAAAACACTTGTTTTTAAGGACCGTTCAGGGAGCCAGGGGCATTGTGGGATTTAGGGAGGCCTCAGATCCCCTCTGTTGACAGGTCTGGAAACCGCATTTCTAGGCTTCCAGACCAGAGGAAGTAGGGGACACGATAGACGGGGCAAGGGGCGCCCTTGACCCCGTTTTACTTCTGTTTTGCTTTGTGCTTGCTCATTTAATAAATCATTCTCTCCTTACATGTTTGATAACAAATGTTATAGTCTTGAGTACAGACATGAATTATGGTCATGGCAGTTACACTAAAGCGGATAGAAAGCAGGCACAAGGTAGAGAAGGAAATGGAGCCTTTAGGGCACCAACAACATCATTCTGTGGGATTGTTATTAACCTAATTTACAAGTTTAGAAATACTATTTGAAATACCACAAGAGACAAATTCTTATAATTGTACCATTTGAGACTGTAAACTTCCCTTTGTTCTGTTTTAGACTACAATTAGTGGCCCTAGGTCAGTGTTACCAACCAGGGCGGCTTCTGCAGTAGCCAGGGTCATTTAGAAACATCAACTTGATATATAAATTGTGTTTTTATTAAGAAAATAAACACTTATTGAGTCGGCGATAACACTTCACTACCTTGCTTTGCGATTAAGAGTACATGAAAAAAAGCAAGTGGAGAAGTTAAAGCAGCTAAACGAAGCCAAATGGTTGAAATAGAAAACTTCCTCGCTAAAGTTAAAGGTTTTTGAAATATTATAGTATTTGATAAATGGATGAAAGAATAAGCTAAAACTTATCGATAAATGGTGGAAACACATTTGAAACACAAGAAGTGTCATCATTGAAGGGGTACTTGAGTTCATCTAACAGGTCTGTAGGTGTGTCTGACAAAAATATGTTCTCTTTCCTAATGAACCTTCATCCTGTCATCTTATGCCCCGTGTGTCTCTCTCACTATCCACCACTGAGTCAGCAATGTTCATAGCTGCTGTGCATGTGAACAGTGTTGATGAAAGCTCTGTAGGAACATCCTTTTTTTTTTTTAATTACGGAGACAAAAATAGCCTGAAACAATGGTCCCACTGTGCAGTGCTCGTGCAAAACGCTTCCTCATATCACACCTTCCACTGCTTATATTATTTGTCACTGCAGCTGCAGCAGCCTGCACATCTGTATCCATAGGTTCTGTCAACGTTGCTGTGGTGACACGGCGTCCCAGAGCTTTATTTGTATTTTTACCTCGGTAAAGACAGATGGCGAGGCTCTCCGCTGCATCTGGACCATGTTTGGATGCGGCACCGAGTTTCACGCTGACAGCCTGCTGTAGCGGCCAAACCACACTGACTCGAATGCAAGCACTTGAGACGTGAGCGGGGTTTGTTTTGGGATACAAATGTTGCCAGGGTTTTGTTGTGGCTGAGTGAGTCATGTCCTGTCGACCTGCCCCGTCCTTGATTCTTGCACGCATGTTTGCCCACATATATGTATAAACACACCCTGGTATAGTCCTCTTTCATGTGCCCACATAGAAGACAAGAAAAATGTTATGAGGAAAAAGGCCTGATTCCAATACACACAAACAAACATGGAAACTTACATGAAAAAATCAGCAAAAGCTATCAAGGCAACGCAGTGGGTAAACACAGTTTGCATTTAAGGAAAACAGGGTTACAGGTTGTGATGACAGCTTGGAGACAGAAATATTCAGCAAAGGGGAGAATCATGCAAGGCAATCCCACAGATGACTTTTCATTGCAAGTCAGGAATGAGAGGAAGTGGAGGGGAAGTGAGGGGAGTGCGTCAAACAATCCGGCCCTTTGCTGTGATCACTGTTTCTCACGGCGGTGTTTGGATATGACTCAAGTTCCTGCTCCCCTCTTTGATATGAAAAATCATCCCAGGGTTTCCTCCTTCTTCATGAACAGGAAGGGACCTACATTTGCAGTTTGTATGCTTTTAAACCGTCATCCAATCACGTCTACGAGTTCTCAGCTGGTTGATGTTGTCATTTGGATTGAAAGAATAACCTTTCTTCTGGCTCATAAAGTTATGACAAGGAACTTTGAACATCCTGATGCCTCTGTATGACCTATGGGCCGTATTTGTGGGCCCGCTGGAGGGAAGGGAGGCCCGGGAGAACCAGAACCAGGACTGAGCGGGCAGACTGTCAGACCCTGCTACAGTATAATGAGAGGTTTTCTGAAGGTAATCTGGTGCACGGAAACAATGATTTTGTCCGCAGGGACCGGCAAAAATCAACAAGTAGCTTCAATCAATTTAAAATTTGGAAGGAAAATTGGCAGGCTTTACGCAGCATCAACCTTGAAAAATTAAGAAAGGGAGTGAGAGAAAGAAGGGGGTTAATGAAGTGAACATTTATAAAAGGTCGGGGAGAATGGTGACGATGAAAAAGCCGTTCAGAGCTCTGTAACATCATCACGAGCACACCAAGACCATCACGTGTACATCCACTCTCATAATGTCTTCCATCTGATCGTCATGTTGTCCTGTTTTAACTGTCCCCATTGCACAAACTGGGATTTTTGTTTTTCTGTGCCTGGGCAGACAGCCATCAGAGAGAGGAGTGCCAGGATGTAGCCCTGGCTGCCATCAACATGCCCCTTCAGTCACAAACTGACTGCACTTCTCTGCCAGATGCCCTGCTTGTGAGAAAGAGGGGATTTGGCTGGGTATTGAGCTGGGCACACATGACTCGTTATAGATTAAAATCTGCTGTTTTCACCTCCAGTCACGACAGATTTAATATCTGGAGGGCTACATTTACAAAAAAAAATTGCATTTCACACCTGTCAGGGTTTTATCTGTGGGCGCGTAAACAGGCGTGTCAAACGTTTGACTCTCTGAGCCTCAGGAAACACTGTTTTCAATGTGAAACCCAGTCATCACGTATCATCAAATAACAATATTTGTCCCTCTGATTCATATTTTCCATGAATCTTGCCCATGTTGTCCAGATAAATATCAAATTAGATAAATCTAAAACATCTGGCAAGTCATAGAAAACAGTCACAGAAAACTAGAAAGACTGTTAAGTATGGCTTGAACTCCTATTCCACAGCTTCAAGCTGTTATGCAAAACAATGCAACACTTCATTTCCCCCTGTCTTAATATGATTTACGTGATTCAAACTGGCTTTGATTGTATTTTACTAAAATCGAATGTTTGAAGAATATAAATCCAGAATCTGTAAATATCTTCAGTAGTGAGCTGTGATTAAAGGGCTACTGGGATTACAGTACATACTGTAAAATACATTCCCTGTAGAATTGACATCATGTTTGTACAAACTGCAATGTTTAGTGGATGTGACGGAAAGAAACTGAAGTGGAGGACCACACCGATTTTCCTGTCATGTAGAGTAAACTCCGTGTTTGTGCTGTCCTTTAACGCTTTAAACAGTTTCCTGAGGTAATAAAAGGCTTTACGTTGTATACATTGGATGTGTTTTACAGTATCACTGAACTCAGGAAGCGTAGTATCAACAGGAAAGCCTCTAATTTAACCAGTCAGGTTTAGCATCGCTCCTCTTTTATTCCCCCTCTGATGCAGCTTCAGTCTCCAAAACACATCAAATGTATTGCACACATGAGCAACATAAAATAGCATATCAGATGTTGCATTTTATGTTTATATGGTGTTTTATTTGATCTCTTTTTGTTTTATTTCATTTTCACAGTCTGTCTTTTCTGAAACAATGCAATCCACTCACCTATTTAACTGACATTCAAGCCGTTTTTACAGTCCATCATCGGTGTGGTGTGACAGTAAACTTACAATACAACTAAGTATCCTTCTTACTTCAGCGCCAAACCCAAACAGTCATCAAGACCACCCCTCTTATTCCACACAGTTATATCTCTGATCTTCCTGAGCAGAAGGAGGAGCTGACTCAGGGTGGATTTGATTTGGTGTGTGATGTCTCTTGATTTTAGGTCGATGGTCAGTGTTGATATTAATACCATGGAAGCGCTATTTCTGTTAGGGCAGGGCCCCGGCCCGGTCTTTACAGCTGTGATTATCTGTTTCCTGCGTGATGTTTATCTGCTGGGGTGAAGGAGCAGTTTTTTCCGGAGTAAATAGCACAGGAAAATGACCATTACTCGCTCTGAATAGCTCAAAGGGGAGAGGAAACCTCTTAATAACGGGGTTGATGGAAATACAGTTTGTTGTTCGAGACTATCCTGTTGATCAGTTTTGTCTCTTAAATTGCATGTGTATGTTATCTTGTATCACACAAAACCATGAAGTTATGCATTTCTGTATAATAACCATTGCACGATGCTTCACAATCCTTAAGGGAATAATTTGACATTTTGGGAAGTATGCTTTCATGTCAAGAGATGCGTCAAAAGTTTCATACCACTCGTGTGTGCGTTAAATTTGAAGCTGCAGCCAGCAGCCTATTAGCTTAGCTTAGCATGAAAAAAAGAAAGAAAGAAGAAAAATACATTCATCAGTAAATGTAAATACCCCCAATGATTTACCAGAGCCCTCAGCTCTGCCCCCTCAGACTTCGTCATCTGAAACCCCAAAAAGGATGTTTTATTCAGGACTCTTGCCTGTTTACAAAGAGCAGGCGATATATTCCAAGGTGGGGACGTCACAGACGAAGTAAACACTTCTTCTGTAAATGTGTTTGTTTTGCCCTGGGTCTGTTTATACTCTCGACAGGAGCATGTTTCCCTCGTTTCCTTAGCTAATCCCTGAATCACTTGTGCCGACTTGCAAGACGCAGCACCCCTTTGTCCCCCACGGGGCAGAGTCGTGCATCTTGCTTTGTGTTTACCTGTGGGTTTGTTTGGGTTTATGTTGTGACAATGTTGGTGTACAACTCCCCTCATCTGACTAAACCGGCAAGGAGAAGGCTGTATCATAAGGTTGCGGCGTGACAAACAGGACTGAGTGTCTTCCAACAAGCCAAACAAAGGCTCTCATTCGTTACAGCTGGACGCTGATGAATGCTACAGAAGAGCATAAGTCTCAGGTACAAAAACACAGAGGCCTGTCCAACAGGTTCCATGAGGTCAAGGTCAAGTCTTTTTCAGCATGAGGGTCTCCTGGTGCCCGTTACAAATGACTGCTCTCGCCCCGCCACTGTCTCACCCATCACCGGCCGATGCCCTTGCGCTCTAACAAGCCCCTCTCCGGCCATCTGTTTTCCTCCCTCCACTGGATTTCTTTGCTCAGAGCCCTGACTGAGGGCCAGGCGTCGGTCCAGCTGGTAGTCAGCGGGACCTGGCTGCACGCTTCCAAACTGACGCCCAGATGCATTCTCACCATAGGGTGAGGTACAACAGTTCATCGATCACACCCGCTATCCCAGTTTAGCCTCTCCATAGGGACGCTGGGGGGTTGCTGTATAGCAAATGAATCAATATTTTTTATTTGGGGGTTAGAATGAGATGATGTGATAAATATGGCATCTCAGCTGTTTAGCAGGGCATTAAAAGTGTTGTCAGATTTGCCCCCCATCAGCTTCCTATAATATATAATAATAATGTAATCTTCATTTTACAAGCAGAGGTCAAGATAGGGGTCCTACATGGGATTAATTAAGTTATGTTTTATACATGTTTACTGTCATAGTCTATATATTTTGGACATTATCATGATGAATGTCATTTTTGATTATCTCAGTTGTGGTAGTGATTCAGGTTTAGGCTTTGTTACTTTAAATTTATTTTAATTTTATTGTAAAATGCGCAAATGATAACAATTCAAAACTTGAAATCAAGGTTCGTATAAAGTGGCTCTTTTGTTCATGCCAATGTATTCTTGTTATATGTCCCAGTAAATAAAATAAACCCTAAAGGTAACATTATCTATTGAGTAACACTAAATTAAATACACACACAACGTTGGACTTCTGATATAGATTAACATTGGTGAGTCCCTGTACACGGTTGATCATTATTCTAGTCCACCAGTAATGCACAAAAACACAATCACTTATTTCAGGCACAACCTTTTTTTTTCTCCCTCCAGCGCAGCTCCCATTGCGCATGCTCAGCCTTCCCAGAAAACCACATGCGTCTCCCCGCTCCGCTCTCTCCACTGCCAAGGCGGAGAGATGCGCACACCGAGGACACCGCAGCGAAGAAATGCGCACAGCTCCGAGCCGAACCCGGCTATAGCGGCACCTCCCAGCAACCCCGACCCGTCTCCCAACACCATGGGTCACAGGGAATATGGCTAACTTTGACACACTTTGCATGTCACGGGGAAAAAATGCGGTCTGGAGCGCTGTGCCGCCGAGCGGCTGAATTGAGAGCACAATAACACAAGAGACTTGAGAGAAGGAGGGTGGGAGGAGGAGGAGGAGGTGTGGGGTGGGGGGGAGACCTGATTCCAGTCATTTCTATCCCAGCTTCTCTCCCCACTTTGGCTTTGAGAGATGATCACGGAGCTGGTGTGCACCGCCGTGGCAGTGGGTCTCTATCTGAACACGCTGGACGCGGATTTCTGCTACGATGACAGGTAGGTGCGGAGCGCAGCAGCAGCATCATCACCATCCGCTCCTCCACTTGTCATCTACTCTTGTTACCTCCGCGTAGGTGGGGGGCTGGTCGTTGCGCCTGCCCGCATGTTTGCATGTGCTTAGCCTGTAATGAATCACTGCTTAATCCTCGGCTGGAGTGAAAGGCACAAAGACAGGGAGAAGGAAGGGGAACGTGCTGAAGCCCAATATCACTAAAATGTAACTTGGACCCCTGATCATTGAGTTCATGTTGCTTTATTGCTCCTAATTGCGTTGATTTGCCTTAAATGTCTTGGCATGAATACTATCTGCGTAATATATATTATTTTAT